AGTGCCTCGCAAAGCGGTCGCTTTCTCGCACATTGCTTTCAATTAACGCGCCCCATTGTAACAGGCAGTTTTTTGGCGTGTGCGCCTTTAAAGCAAACAGGGTGCGGCTTATACACCCGAAAATATGGCACTAACAGTTTTGTATAAATTTATCAGGCGACTCAAAAGTTGGCGCCGCTTTTTTTTATTAGCAATTAAATGAAATAACCAAATACGTTTTTAAAAATACTACGTTTTTGAAAATACTCTAAGTCGTTCTTTTTCCATAACAGCTGAGACTGTCAATGAAATCTCATTTATAAGCTTCGAATCGAAAGTAACGCATTTGCCCCTGTGACCATGTGCTTCCTGCTCAAGAAGGATAAATTTTTACACAAATTTTCCCACTTGAAGTATATCCCAACAAACCTAACTCTAATACCTCAAACGCACAACGTTATACTATTTTAATCACACGTGCCGTGAATAGATAGAATTTTGAGAAAAGGAGCTTAGAAAATAGTGGAAGAAATAGAGAAAAAAATCCAGAAATAAGAGAACGATGGTGGAGAACCTTTATTTCTAGGAAGTCAACTTCATTGCTCAGAAACAGTACATACTGTTGCCCCTTTATTCATTCTTCAATTGCTGAGAGTGGTGGTTGCTAGCGTGTATAGCATTCTCATCGCTATTCTTCGCTACGTATCATTCTATTGAAAAAGAGCGTCGAAGCGTAGAGAGCTCTCAAAGATGAAGGATCACTACGCTCTGTTCAGTCATTCGAGAAGCCTAGGCTTCTATGTTCAATCTCGAATAAACCTTTTATTTTCAGCTCGGTTTGGTTTTTGCTCGAAGTCTTTCATATCTATTAATTTATGAATTATGTATGTTTTTCGTACACATGGTGCTATCTATACTTTTGCCTTTCTTTTTATATCACGAGGGAGTCAAGGCACAAGCTTAGCACATGTTTTCTTTATTTCCGAATCTGGAGTAATACGTATTAGCTCCAGAAATCGTGCTTAAAGGCAGCGTCCAGGCAGATTTGCGCCTTGGGGGATATTGCTTTGGTGGGGTTCCTGGTCATCCCAGTGACCCCAGGCGCAGTCCGGCTGGCTGATGTCCCCCCTGGGCCAAGAAAATAGCCCTTGAACAGGCGCGCGCAACCCCAATCGGCGCGCGCTCGGACGACTTCCCTGCCCTTAGCGCGGGTTCACGACTGCTCTCTCTCTCATTGTGCGTGCTATCCAAAGCAAAAATTACGGGCAGCAGGGTCTTCATGCCAGGGCCTCCCAACTTTTCGTTGAAATTCTCGTCCGAGCTGCCATTTGGAAAGTGGTTAAATGCCCCGAGAAAAGGTCTTTTCACCCGTTTCAAAGCTCATTTTTGGGGTCTACGGGTCGAAAAGCCCAAAACATGCAAAATGATGGAAACGCAAAATCTGCCGGGACACTGCCTTTAAATCATATTTTTGCGTGAAAAAAATCGAATTTTTTTTTTCAGAATGATGTGATGATGACATGTCGAACCCTAGGTTCTCTCATTGCCGCATACTCGGTTTTCCATTCTATCTTTATTAATTCTGAAGGTCCTCAGCGAAATAATTTTATTCCTTGTATGGCAATGTATTATGCTATGACTGCTTCCTTTTCCGATGACGAACAATCATTCTATAATAGAACGCACCAACTTCAGTATGCATTATCCACCTATGATCGTCCATATTCACCTATGATCGTTTTGAATTTTGTAGAGCTTTATTTTGGTGTCATAGGGCATGTGTTATGTTGGCATAGTTCCAAAATTGTTTACGTTCCATGTCTTTGTCTATACTGTTTGTGCTGCCATGGCTGACATGATTCAGTCCGGAAACCTCTCTCCTATTGCAGAATCAGTTCCAATTTCTGTTATGCCTTTTTTACTTTCGTCCTTATCAGGGCAAATATGCCAATATGAACTTTTAAAAGGGGTTTAGTCGAATTTAGAAAAAAGAGAGGGGAGACACAACAAGAGAAAGGAAATTGGATGTATTTTCTAAAGAGCATTATTGTCATAGATTTGCACTTTTTCTTGTATTTGCACATAGGTAATTCTTGCATATAATTTTTGAGTTTGCTCATCGATATCTTGATTATTCTGCTAGCAGGCATCTGGTTACCCTCTACAAACTCGCTAAACCAAATTATTAGGTTGCAAAAATAATGTCCGTTTTGAAAGTGTCACTTCGAAAAACTATAACTTTGTCCAGTTTCACATTTTTGAATGCAATCGAGACCATCAGAAGAAGCAAACTTAGAAAGTACATGAAGAAGGCTTTCCAATGATGTGCAGAACCTCTACCGAAATAGAAGTTTGTTGAAAAAAAAAAGTTGCTCTGAAAATAGGCCTAGAAAAGCAGACATTATTTTTGCATCAACCTAATACAAGCATTGACACCACACGATGGTCTTTTTTATTTCATTTTCAAATTGTTCCATGTGCAGCCAGCCGTCTCTTCGCATCGATTTGAATCAAGATTTTCAATATGACTAAGGTTTCCGTCATGGTAATATGAGAGCAAGGAAAGTGGATGAGAGAGGAAAGAGAAATCGTTGTCGTGTGGGCATAACTTTGAACTTACATTCGATTCATGCACCGTGTAGTAGGAGGTATAGAGAGTAATTTCGTTACAAAAAAGTTTGCTTCGTGCTACTCGCAATCCATTCTATCGCGGGATAATCCATATGGGTTTGCAAAAGTAATCTGAAATTTAATTCTCTTCTGTCACAGGAAAACTGCCTATGGTACTTGCAGATCCGAAGAATACTACCTATGACATGTAACTTGAAACCCTGAAAGGGGAAACAGCAAGATTATTGGTGTGTGAACCTGATACCTTGTAAGCGGCGGTAGTGGTCCTATTTTTTGGGAGAGGGTGCGCAGTTTTTTTTTGATGAAGTTCTCCGAAAAAAATCTTTGGGATGCTTTAAAATCTTAGTGGGATTGTACCCAATGTTGCAGTAATATTAATTACAGGACTAACTTGAATTTTAGAAGTTTCAAAGTTTTATTCGTTCCTTGTGAGAAAAACTCACAATTCGCATTTTCAAGACTCCTTTAGGCTATTTGTAAGAATTTTACGACCCATCGAAGGGGAAGGGGTGGCTTGCTAGTATGACAATCTTTGTCCTTTTCCTGTCGTCTCCGTTGCAAATGTTTTATAGCCAATTTCGTCAGCGGGTAATAGTTTCATGGTATCAATCGCTCTCATGCTATGTTTTTCGAGAACTCAGAAATTTGTTCCAAAAGTTCACTTTTCACCGAATAAGCTAGGGTCACCAGAGTACAGAAAATTCTGATTTTTCGAGCGAGCTTGATCAAAACATCTGTCTACCAGTGGCGGTCCCAGGATTTCGGACCGGAGGGAGGGATCGCGGCAAAAAAAATTTTCAAATGAAGGTGCGTGGCGTCAGCCACGCACCCCGAAAATTTTTTTAGGGTGGTTCTTAAAATTTTTGCGGGTCCAAAACCCCTAAAATCCTGAAAAAGGGGGCGTTGCGTCAGCCACGCCTCCGAAAAAAATTTTTTTACAAGACTAATTTGAATTTTTTAAAATTTAAAAAATTATTTCAATTATTTATAAGAATAAACGAGTCACTTGCACACTTTTATAACCCATGTAAATAAATTTTAAAAATTTCGCGACCCATTCTCGGGGGGGGGGGCGCCCCCCCCCCCTCGGTCCGCCACTGCTGTCTACATCTCCTTCATTTTGTATAAGACTATACAAATGCGAAAGGAAGGAGGAGGCAAAATATTGAATTTTGCAAACAAACCAGTCTCTAAGATGATGTCATCTTGACTTGCGAAAATGATGTCTAGTTTACGAGACTAGAAGGAAGAGCTTGCACGCTATATCTTTTCCATTTGCTTTTGCACACATTAGTTTTCGCTAAATTCCAATTCACTATTTTCCTTCCTGAATGGAATATGTAAATTTATGACGCAGACAATTCTTCCGATCGTAGATGGCTGATTTATGCTCTATTCGTTCATTTTGGAATCGTAGTGTATACCCAGTTTCTAGCTTTTTCATTTGCTTCTTTTCGTTCATTGACCACAATGTCATTTCAACTAACTTTATAGTCAAGTTCCAGAATGAATTTAAAGTATCCAGCATCATGCTTAGTTCAGTTGTAAATAATTTACTTTCAATTAATGACTTCTTTTCCAGCCATTGAATGATTATACCCTAATCTGGCTATGTTGAGAAAAAAATTTCGAAGGTCCATGTTGGAGTTTCAAGATTTTTTTGCAATTTTTTTGTTCTAATCATCCCTTGATAGTACGAGTTATTTGGCATCTACCATTTGATTCAACTGGCTTAGCGGCTGGAAGGCGCGGCTTCGTGACCTAATTAAGACTAGGTAATGATCAGAGAGCACGAGCGCGGGAGGAACGCAGACTGCGTCGCGGACGCGAGCGGTCATCTTCCGCCATTCTCGTTGAATCGAAGAGTACGTTGCGCACTGCAAGATCACATTCGAAACCTTCCTTCAGAGGAAATATCACATAGCTTCCGAGGTATGTTCAAGAAATAATTAGGCCTCAATTAGGTCACAAAGCTCCGCCTTCCAGCCGCCAAGCCAGTTGAATCAAAGGTTGCTGTTTTTGGTATCAAAGGATGCAGTTATTGGTAGTCGGAAATGCACGGTATTTTGTAGTATGACTCGCTTCATTGCATTCCAAATGCGCATCAAATGACGAGAAACATTCTGAGAAAATTCTTGAAATAACTTCTGTGCAGACGGAATTTGAGAACTCATCACGAACAATGTTCCTCTTTCTATACTCCTTCACAAAACTCAACAGCCTTTCAAAATAACGTAACTCAAAACTCCCTTGCTACCGCTTTCTTTGCTCACAGCCGGCTTTGTTTACCAAAAATTTTCGTATTTGCACTACTGCGGCATCGACTTCAACTTCTTTGTTCTCAGTCGACTGCACTTGCGCCATTTTTTTCTGAGGTGAATAATTTTTAGATGACGGTCACGTACAATCTCGATGTTTCGCATACGTCCATAATTTCTTTTTTGAAATTACAATTTCGATGGCGTGGCTCGATATGGAAGTCCGTGCTAAAGGTAAAAATATTTGTACCCTCAAATAATAACAAGTTAACAGACTTCATTCCCGGTTTTTTGCTCATGTTTGTAAGTAAATATCCCTTTATTGAAAAAGGGATGCACTGTTGAAATTTTTTCTCAAAATATGCAAAGCATGCAAAATTGAACCGAAGTAAAAATTTGTGTAATTAGCATAAAATTGTTTTTCATTCAAATCTATTATTGGCACATAAGTAATGCAACTTTTTATATAACTTCTGTCTTTTTGAACGTAACGCATTCGTTTTTGACAATGTAAGGATTATGATGTAAACTGCAATTACGGACATTTTTGCCGAATTTTGCTATGTTAGGTAAGAGTTACAGTGGGTTCACGGTACAGTGGGAAAATTTTTAGATTGCGTCAGATTTGCTGAAACTTGGCCTATGGGGGTTATTCGACGTGCCGATCACAAAAATAAGGCGCGTTTCGCATGAAAAAGCCACTTTCGTAAGGTTAAAAAACGAATTTTATCTTAGCGGCGAATGAATATGATATTCGTGTTCACTGTATTGGATTACTTATTGTGCAAAAATGCCAATTCTGAGGTCTCGCAGCCTAGTTATAGGCAGGCTGCCCTCAAAACTTGACGCATTCGAATTGGACTATTTCTCAGAGGCGCCTTATCTCAGTTTGTCTTTGAATTTCACTTCTTTTTTACTAGCGCTAATTTGTAACTTCTAGATACATGTTGCCTATGATTCCTTTTTGATATGTTTGTTTCAGGTTTTTTACGCCTTCAGTTTGCCAAAAAACCGTGAAACCTTGATTTTTGAAGGTTTTCAAAAAATATTTAAATTTTTTCTACTACGTCATCATAAATCAAACAGTTTGTGCAGGCTTGCAGCTTACGTCACACTCTACTTGATGCCAAAAAATGAGAGTCTACATTTAGTAAGAAGAAAGTTATGGGAAAAGTTACAGAATATGTGCCAACCTAATATTATGAATTCAATTAATGATTTGTTGATAGCATGCATAAGATGTTTTTAGGAGCTGACACTATTCACTACAGCATTTGCAATCATCACTACAATATATCGTACTAATCACTTCTTATCAGTAGAACAAAGGAGGTACGTTTTTTTTAAATATTTGAGGAAATCACGCTCAAGTTTTTCAAATCAAGCAGGATAGAGGTTTTCATTTGCTTTTATATAGAAGTTTTTGAGAAATCGAAAATGCTCACAGAGAGGCAATGGAAAAAATGCTAGTACTTTTTTGCTAGGTTTGATGTTATGAACTTTGAATGTTCCGCAATCATTTGCATTCCCGCCCACTACCGTACTCCTCCTGAGCGGACCAATCAGCGTTCGGGAATACGGTAACGAACGATATTATCGATTAAGTCCTCTTGCCACTTAGTAAGACCTCTCACCATGTCATTAGCATAAGAAGCCTATTGAGATTTTTACACATTTTTTATAACAATTTTTTAGGTTTTGGGATAATCTTTCCGCACTTTTCGATCAAAAGCTTGACTACATTCCACTTACGTTCATGCTTGGTTTCTTTGTAACCATTATTGTTGGACGCTGGAATGAATACTTCAATAATGTCGGATGGGTGGACAAGTAGGTGACTATATTTTATCTTCTTGGCGATCGGACAAAAATTATAAGATATTTACATCCAAAAATCGCTTTTCTAGCACTGCGTTAGTAATGTCCACCTACCTACGTGGAAATGACGAGAAGAGTCGCATGATGCGAAGAAATGTGATACGATACATGGTGCTCACTCAGGTATGTGTGCTTCCGCTAAGTAAAATTGTAGAACGAAGTAGTCCCACAAGTCGAAAGATGCTTTTGCAGGTGCTTATCTTTAGAGATGTCAGCATGCAGGTTCGCCGACGTCTTCCTACTTTAGACACTGTTGTCGCTGCAGGTTCGTACGTTTGTAGCCTTTTTCCCCTTTAACATCCTTTTTTTGACATCTCATGATACCCCACATTCTAAAACCAGAAAATTTTCGCAGGGCTTATAGTGCGGAGTTAAAGTAATATTTCCGCAAGTTGCGTACTATGCCTTGCGGAAGTCCCGCACCTCCGAAGGTCATTTCTTGCGTAGTCCTATCTTATCGTTCGCGGAATCATGCTTCTGATTTCCAAATGTTCTGATATGTTTCCGTTGTTTTGCAAACCATTTTCTGTGTACGCCATTTTATTATCTCACAATCAGGCTCACGAGTTGTTTTTTCTCAAACTTATTGTGCCGTGCGGAAGTTCTGAACATCGTTCTGTTCTGTAAGCTCTTGTCATTATGCTCGCAGATTATCACTTTTTCCAATCTTTGCATTTTCCCACCACGCAGGATCTGTCTTTAGTGTAATTAATCTCCATTCCTTTCGGTCTGAGGCTTGCTGTTCATTTATCTCAAGTTCTCTTATTTTGCCCTGACATTGTCTAGCCATCGGAACCTAGGTTCTCCTCTTGGACTTTTTGCTGGCCGCTCAGTGGCATGTCCATGGTCTTCTTCTTTTCACCTTACGTGCCCACACCAGCGAAGGCATCTTTCCTTCATCGTATTGAGATTGGGTGACTTCCATCATGCTTCCTACTTCGTCATCCATGATACGGTCAGCATAGTAGCTCCTACGTACACCAAATTCCTCTGCTCGTCACGTGTACATAACCAGCATTGCTTCCCCTGTAGCGCCGTAGGTGGGTGAAAGCACTGTCCAACATATCGAATGCGTTTCGCTGCATTCGATTAACAAGTAGAATTCCTTCAATGCTTCTCTAATTCTGAACTGCATCCTCCCTACTGCTTTTGTCATCGTCTATTTACCATCTGCAAAGATGGCTTCCCAGGTACTTCATGGAGGTGGTCTTTAGTTCCGAACGGTACCAGGGTCGGTAGTAATCTACCCTATCTAGTGGCATCATAGATGCCGGCAAGTTGGCACACATGCGGAAAGATGCCAACTCCGCCGGGATCGCGGAGTGATTGTAGGCGTTTTCTATAGAGTGGAGGCGGTATTTTCATCAAAAAAATTTTGTGGAAAAAGGCCTGGGACAGCCTAAATTTGGGGTTTCACTCTCTGGCCACCTCACGTAAAAGGTGCCAGCGACCTGCCGACGAGACCTGCCGCCAGGTTGGGGGGGGGGTATTATCGGCCCAGGTGTGGGCTTCCCATGTACTTCGCCGTTGTTGTCTAGCTGTTTTTCCACGTCCGAACTTGCTGATGCAATTTTATAGATTATTTCAACCCAATGTAGGTAGTCCTCTGGTACGCCGCTTATGCAGTGCCCATCATATGATGTGATGCAGTACTTACAAGGGAAGAATGCTTGGTCGAAGTGGCGTTTCCATATGAATTGTATGCTATCTTGTAAAGCGTGGGACGCTAATTCCAATCTGCTTTTCGTATTTGCAAAGCGTTTCTGCGAGGGAAGTTATGGAGATTTTCTGAGGTAAATTTCTAATGATTTGGCTAAGGTAAAAACAGCTGTTGAGGTGTTTTCAGCGCTTGAATAAAGCAATGACTTGCATGCGTTTGTTAGATTGAAGGTATTTATTGCATGAAACGTCCTGATAGTAACCATGGTGCCATATGAGCTTACGGCCTAAAGCTCTGAATGATATTATCGTAGCGGCGTTTTCAAATTTTCGCATCAAAAAATCTCCATAACTCTACTCCCAGAACCGCTTTCGAGATACCGGAAGCAGATATGGAATCAGCGTTTCATGCTATACAAGATGGTATACATTTCATATAAAAAAGCCACTTCGACCAAGTATCCTTCCCTTGTTAGTCGAACGCCTTCTTCAAAACTAGGAAGATAGTTCACATGGCTTCCTTCAGCTTCTTTCCATCATCATTCTTACTTCTTACTAACTTTAATCGAAATTCTGCGGCACCTTGAGTCTCGTTCTGCGTACGGAAGTTTCGATTGTTCTTTGCACAGATAGAGACATCTCATTCGTAATACTTATCATCGTGAATAGATTTTGCAGTGATTCATCTGTATCGCAGTTAGTCCTGGGGTTGCCAACAGTCTATGTTCTTTACAAAAGACAAAAGTACAACTCTTTTGGATTCAGTCACAGCGCATGCAAATAAAAACACACAGTTGAACAAATTATCAATAAATAATCAACTAATTAATTTGGATATCAATTGCCATTGATGTTTGTTTAGGTTTCATGACAGAAGCAGAGCGTGACAAATATACCGAATACAGCACTAAGTTGAAAGAGATCCGATGTACACCTCATTTCCTACCCATACATTGGTGCTATACGTTACTGTTCGAAGCTCGAACAGCTGGAAAACTGAGCTGTGATTTAATGTTAAATGAAATTGTTAAGGTTTGCAGTTTTCTGAGACTAACTTGTTAGGAATAGTTGTACCTTTTTCAGCACATAGGAGATTTTCGTCGTGGTCTTGCTCAGTTGGCCAATTTTGATTGGGTGCCAATTCCCTTGGTGTATCCTCAGGTGAGCATTAATCGCTAGACTATACGACTTCCCGCACCCTCTGCTTTTTTTAGGTAGTCTTTCTCGCCGTTAGATCTTACTTCTTTCTATGTCTGATTGCTCGTCAGTCGGTTCTTATCGATGGCGAACCACCAAAAGACGATAGTCCGGTTAGTCTCATATGAAAGTAGTCAAGATCCAAGGTTAAGAAATTCCTCCAGGTCTATCCATTGGTGCCTTTCGCCATGACGGCACTACAGTTCATTTTCTATGTGGGATGGATGAAGGTAAGACAGCCTTTCAATGACCGAGAAATCTGAATTTTTTTTGCAGGTGGCAGAAAGCCTTATGAATCCACTTGGTGAAGATGATGACGATTTTGAGTGCAACTACCTGATTGACAGAAATCTAAGGGTACTATAATGTTCGAACCCAATGAGTTTGACGAGTGACTGTGAGATTTAGGTTGGCTTAACTATAGTTGACGATTGCTACGGCGATCTGCCGCTCCAGCAGAAAGATAACTTCTGGGGTGTAGGTAAGACTAGCCTTTTAGCAGCATAATTACATGTTATCTAGTTTCAAAAATTTGTCATAAAAATAATTTGTGATGTTAACACAGGGCCCGGCACGAGGTGGGCAAACGGGGTTTTCCAAAACGAATTCCCCTTTGATCTCAATAAATTTTACGGATACCCCTTGAGCCCAAAAATGACGTTTTATGCTTGTGTGACGAGATTACCGGCCACACTTCGCCTAAAAGCGCTCAAAAGCGCCCAAATTGCTCAAATTCCTCAAATTACTCCTCAGCTGTATTAAGATAGAAAACAGGAAGAAAAATAAGCAAGAAAAATGATTAAGGAATGAGAAAATATCAAAGAAACGCAGTCATAGGAATGGGAGACGTCGTTCCCGCGCGTATCGCTTGACTGGGGCGCGCTTTCTATCTTAGAAAGCTAGGCTGCTGATGCGATTTTGGGTTTAACAAGGACAAGAGGAGGAGTTTCGGAACCAAAATTTCACCATTAGTAAACTTTAGGTGTACAACAGATTTATGTAAAAATTTTGAAAAATTATGTGAACTGAGAGTTTTGCCGACCTCAGGTGGGAATTAGGTCGGCGAATGCCGACCTAATTTGGAAATTAGTTAAGCAATTAGTTAAGCTCTTCACTCACATAAGTTTTTCATAATATTTCATACTTTATTACTTAGTCCTATCGCGCATATGCATACCGAAACCCGCGTGATTTCGTTACCTCTGCGTTGCAAACGATCCATTTTTCCACTTCTTTGGTAGCGCAAAATTTTCAGAAAAAAGTTTCAACCCTCAGTCACATAATTTTTCAATGAAACTCCTCAGTTAAGCCCTGCAAGCCCGTGTGCATGTACTTATAAAGTTTCATACCATATCGTTCATCTGCGCGTTCCAAACGAACCGTTTGAATTCACATCTTCGTTTACCAGTTTTGCGAAAATCTCGGAAAAAATGCTAATTACTCGTTCCGTTCACATAAGTTTTTCATAATTCTTCATACTATGTTTCCACTAGCCTCTCTCCGTTCGCATACAAAATTTGGTGCCATATCGTTACACATACACTGAGAACTAGTCATGTATGCAATTGCAAATAGCATCGCTTGGGCGACGTCGCGGGTGCGGCAATTAGCGACGGCGCGGTTTGACGCGCGCGAACTCCAGTGTTCGCCTGTTGAGGCACATAACATGTCAAGATAAGTAGCGAGCATGAACTACCAATTTTTTCCGGGGCTTCGCCCCGGACCCCGCAAAACGATTTCCCCTTTGCTTTTTGGCCCCAAAACGACTTCCAGCTTGTGATTTGCCGACCTCGTGCCGGGCCCTGTGTTAACACAGTGCCCCCCCCCTCCCGTAAATGGGTCGTGAGTTTTTCGAAAGTTACTCACGTGACTTGTGTTGTAACCCATTTTCAATTTTGCGGCTTCAGCAGCAAAAATCTTGGAAAGCATCCCAAAAATTTTTGGATTGCTAGGCGTTAGCCGCATTTCCATTCGAAAAGAATTCCCTCCCCGGACGAATCTTACACAGCCACTGTATCAACTGTAACATGCAAATATCAGATTGTCGAGTAATTTGTGCTACACGTTTTCTTTTAATTCTCAAAAATCTAGTAGTTTTTAAAAGATTCGTGTTCACGGCGTGTGGGCAAGGTCATATTGGTTATCTTATTGGTCATCGCATTTGCGGCACCAATCATGCTGTTAAGTAGACACTGTTATGTCCTGAGTGTGTTGCAACTTTGGGATTTTCAGGAAGCTTCTGGAATTTTGAGAGAAAAATAAAAAAAAGTGTTAGAAATCATCCGACAACCTAATATTAATGACACTTTGAGCACGTTATTTCAAACCCCTTTTATTGAAAAGCTCTCATGAAGTTTGGCTCTAGCCTAGAAAATTTTCCATAGATCTTGTAAGAACTGTCTCCTTGCCACGTGTAAAGATAAAAATTGACACGTCTGAGACCAGTTTGATAGGTCTTCCAGAATCATTTTGAAATGACTCAGAAGCTCGTCCAGGGGGTTTTTTTTATAAAAGCAAAACGTTTTCAGATATTTATTGAAACATCTTATTAGTTTTCCGCAATGAGCTGAATAATTCGCTCTTCACATTGTTTCCGCATCGAATTTAGCCGGGAAAGGAATGATGGCTTGAAGTATTTGGTGCGATTGTTTCTTCGTTTAGATGATAGAACAATAGCCCTCCTTTTTCGAAAAACCTGATGTGTATGTTGAACACAGAACGTCATTTTCATGATGTTAAAGCTCATTCTGAAACTTTTGACTAAAAATGGGATCATTATTGAATGAAAACAGATCGAACTTACAGTGATAGATAGGCTAAACCAACTCTTGGTACAACTGTAAAACATGTGGATAACATGTTAATTTTCTTTGATGCGTGGCAGGAGGTTGACTCTCATCCTGTGTTTTTATCAAATTTGGTACAAGGAAAGAAGCAATATTATTTCTGAAGAAATGGGTCCGGATAACGCAAAAGTACCACAAATCACTATGTTGATTTTGACCTTTGAACGCCGGAAAAAACCGCATAATTGAAAATTGACGCAGGCGATCAGTGAAGGCGTTTAGCTTGTTATATTTGTCAAACATCCATCATGTACTATTACAGACACCATCGAACCCTTATACTCTGCGGATTCAGCTGTAAAACCTGTAAATCCACAAATCGGTTCAGCAGCGCAATATGAGTAAGTTTCCAGCTTTTTCACTCAAATCAACTACCACGTTGTCCATAGGTTGCCTTATAGAGTGCAGCAAGACGAAGTCATCATGATGCCTCATATCTCAACGGAAGAGTTTGATGATATATCTATGGAAGATGCAGAAGCGAGACTTTTGCCAAGAGGTAAGCTGGTAAAATTACTCATCCCTCCGTAAGTAGTTCATAGCTTCAGGAATTTCTGTTGTCTCTGTAAATCGACATTGTGGCAGTCGAGCGAGCTTAGCTAGCAGAAAAAGCAGTATCTTAGATACCGTGCGAAAGCAATTCAGTCGGTGAGTTTTCTGATTTGAGCATATCTACCTCTACCTTTCATGCAAGGTCAGTGGGATGACTTTTTCAAAACTTAGCTTTATTAGATTCTGGTAATTTTTCTCCGAGTTTATTGCCACAATAATCGGACCATTCCATATTTTGAAAAGTAGTGTGATGACCTGGTGGGCCCGGAGCATGTAGATTTTATCCGTGAGCCTATTTGTCGTTGGTTACGAAGCAACTTAAAGGCAGCGTCTGGGCAAAATTTTGAATAGAATTTTTTTCGCTTACCTGGGCCTATTCCTCCCACTGATTCTGAAAATACAGTTTGAGGGGCACGAAAACGCCGAAAATGGGCTTTTCCAGAAGCTCTTGATATGAATTTTGTCGCCTGCCGTCACAGTTAAGACGCGACTTCTTTGTGGGACCCACGTCTTGACTGGTGCGGTATGCGCACTCTAGCTTTCGAACTCTAACTCGTCCCGGTCGCCGGGGCGTTCCGGTCGCCACTTCTGAAGCGGATTTCTCGCTTCAAAAGCACTTTGGTGCATTGCCAGTCGGGCAAGAGCCTTACCAGGACCGGCGCCCCACTCTACATTTTCATATCAGCCCGGACGCTGCCTTTAACCTCACTCAAACCTTACGGAATACATAAGGTTTATTTTGGCATAAAAATTGCATAAGAAGAAAGTAATGAAAACTGTTACAAAATACTACCAACACAGCAATCTAGGTTGGAAAACAAACTTCTCTAATTTGTACTTGCTACGATCCGCGCGTCTACAACCTCATACATGGATTGCTCAGAAGCTTCCTATGCGTATCGCCAAGGTTGAGACGCGGCACGACTTCTTCTTTCCTCTCTTAACTCTCTCATCTACACTAAATTCTGAGTTAATTAGATCTCAAAAGAAGCTCGCCTCGAAATTAACCATAAATTGTCTGGTTGTTATTGCACGCTCGATTATCACACAAAAGAGTTTTTTTGCGGGAGGAGGCACCGCCGATGCACGAGCTCAAAAGATGACAAAATATTTCTTGAATACAAAAGCGAACAGACGCCAGGCTGTAGCGCTGCGCTATTCATAGGAACACTGATTGGCAATGCGCCAAGCTTAACCGCGCTCTTTGACGCTACCTGTATGGATTTGATTTGGAACTGCGGGTGGGCGAAGGGTATGCCTCGCACTAGAATTGATTCAAAAAATTCTTCCTAAGTTTCTACTGAGTCACAAAAACAAAACAAGCAATTTTTTCCCAGAGTAGTTCTATGCTTTTTACAAATGTGAATATAGATAAAATCCTTTGCAGCCACTTTCCTATTTTCAGAATCCAAGTTCGCAGCCATAGTGGAAACTTCCAAGCTTATAATATATCTTTGGCCTGAAGGGAGGTCTCTTTATTGGAAATAATTTTCCAACTCTTGGCCCTCCCTCCCTACTGAAAAAAAACTTGTGCGATCACTGCCATACTTCTGAGGGTTTTTTTGTCAACAGTTAATGTTGTGTAGTGATATGAGTCAGTCTTCTGGCTTGTTCCACTCGCGCTGCATCAGCTTACTCGCTTGCTCAACATACAGATCCGCAGTTCAGCAAAAGAACTGATCTGAATGCGAGCAGCTACGTACGTATCTCCGGGAGCGGAAACTCTAATAATTCACCTTTGTTTTTTATAAACAACAGATCCTTTGTTTTTTCAAAAATAACGATCTAAGATTCTCTTGAACTATCTTTACTGACTGTGTTAAGGACCGACGTTCGAAAGATGTCGCGACCAACCCGACTAAATATGTCCCAAATGTCCTTAGACAACGATGCAAAATCCACTATTGAAGTGGGAGGAAGTTCGCTGGATATTCTAAATGATCTTGCTAGTGAAGCGGCTCGTAATCCAATGTTACTCACACCCGACGGCGGTCAGTTCATTGGTACATACTACAGATCTTGTCTATCTTACATAGTCCACAAGTACCTGAAAAGTTCTTGTTCAGAGCTGTCGCCTAATAGTCCTATGCGTCGGTCTCCTGTAGGTGAAACGCTCACCACTGTACCGGAAGAGGATGAAGAAAGTCAGAGGACACGGAACAGTGTGGATTTGAGGAAGTGGAGGCAGGAGGCTGAGCAAGAGCTGCGCGATCGTCATCAGTAAATGCGCTAACAATTTTTTTAGAATTATATCAATTAGCTTTAAGCATTTCATGTCTGGTAATATACCCTATATTCCGGAGTATAAGCCGCATTTCTTTTCACCGCGCGCGGGCTGAAATGCGATGTCGTTCGCAATGCGCGAAGCCGCACAAGCAGCAACTACTATTTATTTCGCCTGGTAATCTAATACAGGCTTTCTGCTTTCGTTCTTTATTTGGTTTCTTCGCAAGTGTATTTGTTTGTAACAAAATTCTCTACCTTCTCATTTATTCTTCAAGAATCCGCTGAACAATAAAAGAACGTTCGAATACCAGTAGTAACATGGAATCGAAAGGTGATAAGCTTCAAACCGGTAAATCAAAATAAAAGAAAGCACAACTTCAGCACCAGTAACATCATTGAAAAAAGAAAAGCACAGTCAACCAGTAGTATCATCTGGGAAAGAAAACGCAACCCAAACACCCGCAAAGTCATATGAAACAAGAAAAAAGTGAAAACATGGCTATTCGTACTAGAACGCGCCAAGTTTTCAATTTGCTATATAGCTCTTTTCAAAGGCGCTTTCGCGCCGTTGTTCGCTGCGGCGGGTGCGGCTTATATATAAGGTGCGGCTTATACTCCGGAAAATAGGGTATTTAAGATGAGCGAATCTACATAACTTTATGGGTTTTATATTGGTATGTTATGGCTATCATTGCCTGGTTTTTACTGAATGTCATACTTACTCACGTTAGGATCTTCCATACATAATAAGCATATCATCTCTTATACCTCAGTCAATAGCAAACATTACATTTGCAGAAATCTGTACGTATATCTTGGTTTCCTCATAGTGTGCATGGTAATCGAGTTGCGCAAATTTAACCCGTAAAGTCTGACATAATTTCTCTTACAACTTTAGTTAATTATTCTGCCATGTCTCTGTTTGTGTTATTGTTCGGATACTAATAAAATTGTACTTCTGATAAGAACCTGTAAAATTTCAAGCTGTCTTGGAGGATAAGCGCAAATAAGGCAAAAACAGAAGCGAGAGTGGGGCTGACACAGAGTTAAGGGAAGGAGGCGGATGAGTGCTAAAGGAGACAGAGGGGAAGTTCCATCCGCAATCGTGGAGGCCAAGCATGGTAAAATTATCACAAAAGCACTAACTTTTTATCATAAACTAGTTGGCTTTCCCGGTCCAGTCCGGGCCATGGTTTACCGCACTGCGAGCCCCCTCCCCCCCCCCCCCCCGCCCGCCCTATATGGATGACTTACCCTAGGACATCCGCTTGGAAACCGCATCCTCGTGATCCTGAGGTGAAAATGAGCTTCACCGCCCTCCTTTACATGAGTATGGAAAATGCTTGATTGAACGTGATAACCCTTCAGTTCCTTAGGAAAATGTAAACAAATCAATAAATCGATAGAAGAACCCAACGAATCGCCGCAAAAAGTAGCCTATCATCTGCGCAAGGGTCGAAAACATATGTGTGCAAAGTTTCAGCTGAGGACTATCTAGTATGTCACACTTACTTAACAATGATGGAATTCGCGAAAAATCACTTTCCTGCTCGCTAGCTAGTAAACTTACCATCTAAGGAAAGCACGGCGACAGGCAGAGGCTACTATTCGAAGCGAAAAGATATAGCAGATAAGAGCTTATACACGATTGCAACTCTCAAATGCGAAGTGAGAGAAGGGGTATACATATTTTAGGAAAAAAATGCATTTTGCTTAAAATCTTTGCGCTGTACTGCATATTTAATCTTGCGAAACATCCTACTCCACTGCGTTTGCTTCTCAAGTAATCTCTGAGGCATTAGAACATAAGAGCCAATAACTTGTTCGGAGTTTGGTTGGACCTAACCGATTATTTTTTCAAAAGTATCAGTTAAATAAAAACTCAAAACTCTTAAGGTGCAGTTTACTTTCTAATCTCCGCGCATTGCACAGGAAAAATAGATGATGTGATGAAGAACGTGGAATCTATGAGTTGTTGTTGCCTCAACGGCTGATAGTTTAGCAGAACTGACTTTGCGATCATTCTTCATAGAATGAACGGTAAACGGAAAACTGTTGATTATAGCAGTGTATAGATTCTGACTTAATCTCAATTGCGCTCGTATCATACCTAGAACTTTTTTCAAAATACATGTGAAACTAAATTGAAACTTTTTTCGCCAAATCAACTGCGGAGTTATATTTAATTACTATTTGCGAAATGAAGTAAACACAATACAAACAAAGGTTAAAGGCACTTCTTTTCCGCTTCAATGCAGAGCCATTTTCTTGCATACAAACGATCTCAAATTAGGGATGCAGGTAAAACCATTCCATTTCTCATACCACAGAGCATAAGCGCTGTTTGCATGAGGATCACTATACAGCTGAAATCAAATGATCTTTTGATATTAATGGAAAAAAATATTCGAAATGTGAAAAAGCCACGAGTCCACAAGCGAAAAAAATTTTGCATATAGTTAATGTAACCACTCTCAACATGTAACGAAATGTAATCTACGACATCCGCCCCCTCCCCCCTCGAAGTGTACGTGTGAACAATGTTTCGCCCGAATCGTAATAATGCAGTTTTCTATTCGCAACATACGTACACACAGAAGACGACGAGACATACAAATAGACGTTCAGTATTGTATATGAGATTCTCAGGAAAAGCACCAATCGAAGGCATTTTTTGCTATTCAAAGATAGCAGAGGTGTCTGAATAACGCAACTTCTAACAATCAAGAATGTGCGTTTCAAAAATCCATACTGCCTTTATGTAACTTTGACTTTTCATTAAGCGATTTAATTTACTTTTTCTTTTCTCACCTCTGAATCTTTTCACAAATTTCATACTTTTACTATGTCACCGATTTGAAGTCAATATCAGAGCTGTTTGACACCAGAAAGTTTTGATTTGAAAGTGGTGAAACAGAACCTCTGTGCCAAGCTGATATAGTGAAACTGGCTTGATGCTAAAGTTGACTGAATTAACGCATACACATTTTCCTTAGTAAATCGCAGGTTTAGTGTTGAGAGTGGATGTTAAAGCTTGAGATAAAATCAGACCTTGTTCATTATGCACTAACAAACTTGCGATGTGTTCTTGAACCCAATTGAAAGTTATCAGAAAAGTGTAAGATTCACAAAGGAGAAAAGAACTCCTCGACACTCACTATGAGAAAATGTTGCACCTACTTTTGTGTTCAGGTTAATGAAGGCTCAGTATAAATCAAAAACTATCCGCTATTTTTGTCTAAGGCAAAGCAGACACTACAGCTGATTATGAAGAGGAATTTGATTTTGATTGACTATTGTCTTTGAGCGCCTTTTGCCTTACTGTAAACATCGTATGCAAATGCAAAGAGAATATACGACGATTTTTTAGTGGATTGTTAGAACGTTTGCATCTGCATTAATGCTGACTTTTTGAAGTTTTTTTATTGCCAGATTCAGAAGCTGCTTAACCAATGAGGACCAATATAGTGCTTAGGTGTAGATTGCAGGCTAGAGGCGATAACTTGCCTTTTTTACTCTTTTTTTCTGCGTTATAAAGTGCTCCAGCTTCTATTCTTGATATTGTAGAAAATAATTGCTTGCGCCAAGCGTTTAAACTTTACTTTTAGGAAGAACATACCAGTGCGCATCTTTCCGATCCTTTAGCATTTGGTTTATTTGGGGCCCATGCTAGAAAGTCAACCTTCGTGCCGTCAGTCCACACCCATTTTACTGTCAAGCTGCTATTCCAGTTACTGTTCAGATAATCGGACCGTACCAGACCTATCCATGTCGCCTGCGCACTGTCAGTGAGTCTGTTACCCGACTTCGACATCTCTGTATCACAAAGAAAGCCCATTTACGCGGAGCAGAATGAACTTACCAGCTACAAAAGAATTTTCTTCAAAACTGTGAATTGAAGTCAAATGTCCTCCAACTGTCTTACATAGGCTTTCGGCAGCGTTGAAAGTTGACCAAAAGAAATTCTATAAATTCGATTGATGAAAAATAAGTCTTAAAGATTGCTATTATGTCAATATTGTGAATGACAGTGTATACTATGTGCATAAAAAATGTCACAATTGAGCGTATGCTGCAAATCTTAACTTGGCGCTAAATATCTAATTATCAGAAGCACAAGCAACGAGGAGGTTTTCGAAGAAAGTTTGCTCAAAATCATTTCCTGGGATGTTTATAAAGCGAGGACAATCTAGCTAATTCTCTCAAAAATGAATCATCTTATCTAGCTGCGGACAGTCCACAAGTTTTCAAGTATCTTGTTTCGAGTTGGTCTTTACCTCAAAATCCTCTTCGGAGGCCCAGGTTGTCCCAAACCTTCTTTGCCCTAGGCTAATCCGATACCAGAGTTCATGGAACATGATTAGCAAGCGACAGATAACATACATTTCAAAACTTTTCTTCCTTACACTGCTATATTTCAGCTCTAATCTCTGCAGTCGCGGCAGCGATAACGCCGAGGTTCTTAAGCTCTCACTACAAGACCAAAGTTCCTAAATTCGAAAAGTAGTGTCATAATGAGCTCCGGCGGCTGTATTTAAAGGACATTCGTTGACGACAACCCCGTTTCGTGCATTTACACCACCACGGGCGTGCTTTTTTGAAGCCTTTCCAGCTTTACAATACGTTACAGCGCGCAGGGAATTCGCAGCTGGCAGCATCCCTATCCTTTAACCTCTTCCGCACTTCTCATCTTTTCTCATCTTTTTTTCTTTTTCAATCTTCAGTTCAGGCACTTGCTCATCAGTTACTCGTTCTCCTTTTCTTTGATGTTGTCTCGGTCGAGCATCCTACAAGTTCTGCTTTGTGGATACTGAAAGAAAAAAGTTTTGGCACAGTTATTGAATTCATGCTCCTTTTTACATACCATACCATACAAACATCTTCAGAATCGTAAACTATCGTCCCGGCATAGTTAGGGGAAAGAATGTGCTTTCTTCATGAGCAGTGATAACTACCATGCCTTCTCCTCAAAAAAGACTACTGAAATGTTTATTTTAGCACACCTACATGTCTCCTTGATGTAGGAGTGCTGAAACAGCCACTTCAGCAGTCTCTTAAGAAAAAAAAGGCAAATCATTATGAAACACTGAAGAAAACATTGCACTCCCAATCATAGCCACGATATCCGCCATTGCAACTTTGAAGAAAACTCATTGTTCCTTCCGATTCTTTCCGGAGCAATGGTTCTGCGTGTATGAGAATGTGTAACTGCCTAAAATGAAAATTAAGGAGAAAAACGATGTGAAATACTCAAACAACAAAAAGAGGTTAAAAGGCGGGCATGCTGTGAGCTGCGATTACCCCGCGAGCTGCAGCCTACTGTAAAGCTGGAAAGGCTTCAAAAAGGCATGCCCGCGATGGTGTAAGTGCACGAAACGGGGCTGTCGTCAACGAATATCCTTTATCACAAAATGGTTATTTCTGATCTCCACGCTCTTCTCAGCTGCGTAGCAAATAAGGTACGTAGCCATCGCTTTACTTGAAGCGAAGGCCAAATGAGGACGTGGCCGCTCATGATGGGACTCTCATCATTCGTGGTAAGATGTTCCATCATGCGTAACCTTGGAGGTCCTTCTACAAGTTTGGGCGAGACGGAAAAATCGGGATGCCACCAAAAGAGGAATTCAAGGTTAGGAAAATTGAATATGAGATCTGAAATAAAAACAGCAATTGTCTTTTTGGGCTTCTCTTTTCCACGACATCTCCCTAAAAAACTCTATCCTTATGAAAAGGAAAGCACGCCGGTGGGTATGGGAATCGCCAATAGAACGAGTTCTGCGGAGATCCATTACATCCTTACCAATTTTGTTGGTGAGCTTGCTCCATGTCTCAATAGCCCCTTTCCCAGTGACTCCAATCATTGCATTCTTCGATGAAAGTACGATTCAGACGAGAGAAGAAAAAGAAAGCCATCCGTAGCGTTGCAAAAAGTAAATTGGTCTTTTGCTAATCACAGGCTGAAGCTCATATCAAATTATATCACTTCGTCGAAAAGAATTGATTACTACGAACAGCTTAAAGGCTTGACCTGCGGAGAATGCCTTAACGACTTGTGAGAAGAACCTGGAAAGCATCTAAAAGACCACTAAGTGAGTATTCAAGAGAATAGCAACGTTGAGGCAGTTCTAGTAACTCTCAAACTACTATAGTGAAGCCAGTAGCAGAAGAGCTCTGCGAGTGGGTCAGCGGAAGTACAGGAAAATGAAGATACTGAAAGCAAGCGGAAGGCAAAATTTGAAGGCCGTTTGAGTTTGAAGTTCAAAGGAACATCCGGTTTCTAATCATCTAACTGTTTAAAGAAACATACGTCATTTAACGCCGCCAGCAATACGGAATGAAGACGCGAGTTCGACTTTTTATCAACATGAAATGGATGGAATCTATGGCGAAAGTTTCACGTTAATTTCTTCCGCCTCTTGAGGTGCTCGGCGAACGCCGATTGTTTCCAGTGGAAAAGAACTAAACAATTTTACGGGGTGAAGGCAGCTTGAGATTACCGCAACCTGACCACAAACATATCCGCGGACCCTGGACCAGATAACTTTTTGTCAAATTTCTGCGAGCCGGAGGACACCATTTACATGAAAGGTTCGCATAGCAATTGACATCTTAGCTTTAGAAGGAAATTTCGACCAGCGGAGAAATTCAAAAACTGTCGTTTGCTTTGTGAATCCACAATACCTCCTAAGACTTCGTCGGGCCACTCTGCTCGACTAGCGTCGATAGTCGGTAAGGCATAATTGACTGGATCACCAAAACCGGCAAGCAGTAAACTACTGCGTTTGAAGGCCATCTGGATGCCTCTCCGTCCAAAGGTCCAAAAGTGATTATCCAACTTTAATTTTAAAAAAAAGTTGAGTATAGTAGCTTGAGCTCAATGTGCGGGCAAAAACTGGATTTCTGTCATAAACATAGGGCTATCTGCAAGTCGGAATCCGCAAATCCACGCTAGAAAGCATGAAATTGGAGAGCCCATGTGTTTCCCGAAGCCTTACATTTTGAATTGGACGAATGAAACAGCTCGCTGAGGCTGGAACGCAAAGTCGCGGCGGGAACCTACGACTAAATGTGGCGACATGCGTACCTGCCGCAAAGCAAGGAATCGTTGGAGAGGCTCGCCCCCAGGGCGCAAAATTTCCAGTTTTTCGACTGAATTTTTGCTTTAGGTCAAAATGGCCTCGGACTTGCGTGGAGACGTGTCCGACATTTCCGCAAGGCACTCAAATCCCAAAGCTCCCAACCGGACTCTGCCTCTACGGAGGTTCGAACTACCGTTCATGACCATTTGGTGTGTTGTGCGAGGTTTTCACAATCATTCTTGCTATTTTTCAAAGAATAAAGCCTCAGTAACAGAAAGCGAAGATAGTGCGCAAGCTCTTTGGCCGTTCCTAGTGAAGAAAATCACATTTCTAGAAACTGAACTGTTCTCTTTTTTTGCTGCTAGAAATATATTGTTTTTGTCCGGAGGTCGAGCATCTTTTGCCACTCAAATTAAAGGATTACACAGTGGCAGGCTGCAAGTCATATTTTGAGTCATCAAAGGGGACTGTTCCTTTCTTTTATACCCTTTATCTATCACTTATGCTATAGGCAATACATTTTTCTAGGTTCACCAATGAAGTTGATACCTCAAGTAGAGGGCTGGCTTTTCTGATTTTGTAACTAATTGTCGCGGATTCGCGACTTCTCTCAAAGGAGTTTACCGCCGCATTGCGAAGTGTCCTGAAACGCCGTCCTCGCGCTGTCCCGCCTCTCAACTCTCTACCTGCGCAGCTTTCAAATTTGTCGCGTAGTTGGTCTTCGCTGCTGTCACCATCGTGAGCGGCCGGGTTCCGCTTTCGTCTTCAATACCACCGATCAATACGGCGCCTTCCCCAACTCAAGCGTCATCTACGTCTGCGCCATGGAGGACTGGCTACCGCACTGACGAGATAACCCTGGGAGCGCTCGCGCCTGGCACATGCCGACGACGCCCCTAGAAGGGTTCCCAATGTTGCCGGCCCTTTGGTTTCAACATGTGGCTAGTTGTGCTCTACATATGCGTTTGAGTTTAGAGATTTTATACGGATAAATGGTGGGCATTCAACATCTGTGTCTTGTATTGATGCGGTGGGCCACAGCTCGACTGTGGCTTCCGGAAGTATCTTGTATTACCTTGTTGTGTTTATACTGTAGTTCTGCCTAGAGTGTTCAATCAGTAGGAGGGCAGACACAATCCTAAGTAGTGTCTGGACTATTAATATAAGTCCCGACTGTCGATGGTTGAAGCGTACTTCACAGGTGTCGAGTCAACTGCTAAGCAGACTGGTGGCAAGGGCTTCTATGTGTGCATGACGTGGTACAGTGGCAGGCGCAATTATCATCCTCAAAGGTAAGTCCACCACATTTTACGCTGCTTCTTCTCCCAGATGGGACCCCTGGCTCCTACCGCCGCTGCAGGAGAGCCCCAATACTGACGTTGAGAGCCGGAGACCCATTTCGCAACACTAAACCTCACTATATTGAAGGAAAAAAATGTATAACTGATCAGTGCTTTTTCTACAAAGTGCTCCTACTATGTGAGGACTCTATTGCGGCCATCACTGCAAAGTAGACGCCACCAAATGCACGAAATATTTTATCTTTCACAAACATTACCTTATAACAAGCATTTGTCTCGTTGAAGTATGTCCATTTGCTTTCGCAATGTCCAGGTCCTGGAATGCAAACTCAGTAACAAGCAACAAAATGTTTCACTGCTAAGCGTGTTCAATTAGGAGCAGCTAGCGTGAGGGGGAGATACTTATTGCTTCACCTAAATAAGCTAGAGATCTGCTTGTGCTTCTTCATGGAGTTCTTCTGACGCTTCATCAGTAAAGAGAGTCTTAGTTTGTTTTTGTTTTCAGGCGATGCTGTGGATGGGTAATTACGCACTTATGCATGAGACTCCATAGTGCCCTAAGGCGCTATTGGTTATGAAGAACAGTGGTACCGCAAACGCTCGAATATGCGCTTGTAAATCATGAGCTGGCGTACGTGAATCTGCTTGGCTTTTGTCAATACTTCAAGTCAAATACCCGTATTCGTTTCATTTCCAAACATTTTCCCCATTCCAGTATGCCGTTATCTGCCTCCACTTTCGTGCTATTAGCATGCTTATTGCCTTGTTCCAATTCCCAGTGTGCCTGCACAAAGTTTGCAAGAAAAATAGTGAAATTGATAGATACAACCGATCCGCATGCCTTGTTGTGCAATCTCGGCTTTCTCCTCCTTCCTACAGTTAATCCTAATTTAGGTACGACTGCTAAAATAAATATAAATGATTCGATGTCAATCGAAAGTAAATCACACCCTTCAGCTATGCGCGGCGGCTCGATGGGCCTTAAAGGCACCGTTCACCCAGATTCTCGACTTCCAGGTTTTTGTCGTTTCAGGGCCTTCTCATGTCCCTGATTTTAAATATAAAGTCGAGAATCTTCGAAAATTCCGAAAATTCCCATTCCAGAGAGCCCACAGGCCGGCTTTCCAGAAAGGTGATTGGATGATCGCGCACAAATGGGCGGGCATGGATGGGGAGGGGCGGGCATGGATGGGGGTCCTCGCGCATCTTCGCTATTCCGAAGCGATTTTCTCGCTTCCGAAGCGGCATTTTGCGCAGCAACTTGGGCATTGGCTTGATAGGAGGCCCTACTGTTATATGCTGCCAAAAGCTCAGCACCCTCAATTTAGGGTGGACGGTGCCTTTAAGCACCAGCACAGCAATTTGTTCACTCGATGCTAATGCCCGGCAGCTTATACATGAAACCGTCCTAAAAAACTAGCAGGACATAATATAATTGCTAATTGTATATCCTATTGTCACAATGAAAAAATAGACACTGCACTATAAACTCCCATCAAACGCAAAACTTCAACACGGCTCGCGCATCATCGGTAGCACGAGAAGGGACTGACCCGTCCCTGCTACCGATAGTGCGCGTCTAGATTATATACTTGCAATCTTTCTTCTGGACGTATCCGCTGCGCTTAGCCTAGGAAAAACGGTGTAACAATCTCTCCGCTTCCAAATTTCTTGATTCTAACTGGTTTTAAATCTCAAGTGCTCCCGGCCTCCGCTTCTAGGAACACTGCAATCGCGGAATTGCGACAACGTTTGGGCCATCCGGATTGTAAAGTTTGCAAAATCGGCGCAAAAATTGGATTTTTTTGAAACATACGTACGTATGAATAGATGGGAGAGAGAATATGACATGTTATTTTCGAATGTTCAACCTCAATGAGTTCAATGGAGAACAGCGCCAGCATGTTCTCCGGCTTTCCAGCCTTAGGAATCATATAAAATCAAAGCATATTGCGTATACAGGGTGTCCCAAAAAATGTGCACACTGTTTGATTATAAATAACTCTTTTGTGGTGAAGTGTTTTCAGAAGCTTTAGCTACCGTTTTGAAGAGCGAGGTTCAACTGAGATTTACAGTGTAGAGCGAATCGCCGATCGCTCATTCTTACTGTAGGAGTACGGTGAGAACTTCAAACATATGGTGTCACTGTGAAAAAAGCGGCCGTTTCAAAAATTTTCAAAAAAAAGGGGAAATTTGTGTAATAGGGTTTTTATGGACCCTAAGTTCAATACCCAACTCTTTACAAGGTTGAGAAGCTTTCTAAACGGTGTAACCGCACGCACTTTTTAGGAACACTTAAAAAACGTCTGCTTTTGCTTACTTCGCATAATTTTTTAATGAAGCAATACGAAGAGTTGCGAACTTCACATCTAGAATCAGCAACTCTAGTTAGCCCAGTGTAAGAGTTCTCAGTTTGTCTTGGTTTGTTTTTGGAACAAAATATGACCTTTTATGGCTCAAAACCCCTTCAAAGTTTTTACCGTAATCCTACAGTAAGAATGAAAGATCGGCGATCCGCTCTACACTGTAAATCTAAGTTGAACCTCGCTCTACAAAATGGTAGCTAAAGCTTCTCGAAACACTTCACCACAAAAGAGTTATTTACAATGAAACAGTGTGCACATTTTTGGGACACCCTGTATAAAACAATAGTGCAGGATGCATCGCTAACCTGCATTAGATTCATTGAAACGAGCGAGACTGCGAGTCTGGTGCAAGCCTCTGTAATCTCAGTTTTCGGTAAGTCTTGTTGAAGTAAATTACATACCTGGAAAAGTGCTTGGTCAAACTAATGAAGGCTTCCGATAATGGAATCAATATATAGAGTAGAAATTTCATCACATGCATCCTAAATCTCTTCTATTGCATAATCATACAACTATTGAACTCGTAAAACTGCAAGCAGAATAGGATGACAACGAAAAAATTGTTCAGCTTCATAACCATTGTTAAAATGCGATGTACCTACTTTATGTTAAGTTTGGCATTATAGATAGGATACAAGGGTGCTCTAGCGAACACTGCTACAGTGACTTTTATCAAAACCGCACATTCATAGATACAATTTCCTTAATTTTTTTCTGGCTAAAGTTCGGAGAAAGATTTGCAAGAGAACCTACAAAAGCTAGTTTTCGAAAAGCAGCAAGTCTAGCTCGAAATCACGGGAGAACCTAGACTTGGTACCCTTTCTGAAGACTGTTTTGCGGAAGGCAAAATGCTTATTTTTTTCCGTCAGCTATCAGTAATATAGAATTATATGCAAAGGCAGTGCCATAGTAATGTCAACATTGTTAATTTATCATATCTTCATTTGCTCAAAATTTTAAAAAGCATCACTAGTACAAACGGGTTTGTTAAAGTTACAGACTGTTAATACAGACAATTTTATGGCTTTGTAGGAAGCATATATAGCATTTCTCAATCGACATGCATGATATGTGTATCGGACTAGTAATTAGCCTTCGACGGATAAACTGCAAGATATATTTTTTAAACCGGTGTTGTAGGTGTCGTCATCTTTGGAAAAGTTAGGCATTCAAGTATCAGGTTTTTACATAAGTCTTGTTACATTTTAACTTTTTACAGCGATAAGTCATACACCTCATATTTTTAAGGGGGCTACATGGTACCATTCGATAGGGCAAAGCGAGCCCCACGAGATTATGTGCAAAAGTTTGCACCAGCTTCTACCCACCGTAAATTTGCATATAGAATCTGAGCCGTACTGAAGGCTCAGAAAATTGGAGAAAACAAATTTAGTTTTGTAAATTAAGCATAATTTAAGCAAATTTCCTGAAAAATACCAAAAGAAGCTGAATGGACCCAAAAATGTATATATTTCTTACAGAGTGTTGATCTGGTATGTGCAACGGTAGGCTCAAATTTGCTGAAAACTACGAAAATGTTTTTTTTTCGTGTGATTGTTCAGTGCTTCATTATATTTATTGAAAAAAAAGGACAGCAACATCAATCCGCAAAATAATTTCCACAACTATCAATAACCATCTGCCATCTATTAGAATGTTCCCCTTTTCATTGCTTTACAAAGGGTACAAAAGGGTTTTTTTCAGTAAATCCATGTGAAGAATACCAATTATAAGAAAAAGCAAAATTCCCACTTTTGTCGGTTTTAGCGTTTTGAATCTATCACTGCACGTAGCAGGTTAGCATTGTACATGGAACATGCACAACTTTTTTGTATTTTTACAGAACTTGGTAGGAAGATCCCAAAATCGAGCGATTTTCTTTAATCGTTTGTATATCTCGCGTTTCCTAAGAGCTTACATCGAAGTTAGGGTTGTAAAGGGATCTCCTCTCCTTATTGCTAGCTGAAATATTGATTTCATAATTTTAATACAGCAAGAAGTTATGAATTCTTGAAAAAGTGCGACACTTCCGTTCAACACTGATATAGTGTGGGTCCCGGCAAGCTTCCCATATGTACCTCCGCAGCGCACACGCAACGCGCGCACTGCTGACGCTTCTCATCCCATATGAACGAAAATGCATTTTTAAGTCAAGATAAGAGTGAGACAAGAACTGGAATCCTCTACTCTCACCTCGAGAAAAGCCCAAGCAGAAAAAAAAACGCTTCCATCTTCCACTAACGTTTGGTTCCTAGCCATTCTCATGCATACTAGTATAAAACTACAACTGATGGATGAAAATCGTAGAAATAGCGGAAAGAGGATTACTTCTGGAACGTTACTCTTCTGCAATCATTGAAAAACTAGAAGCACAAGCTGCAGAGCGTAACTGTATGTACAAGCTGAAGTTTTAGTGCCACACTGAAAAGAGATTAAAAGATTTAGGCAAAACAAATTCAATCGAATAGATACATTTACTCCGTGAAAGAAACCCGAAAGAAAAATCTCTTAAGAATATACTTGATCCTCACTGCGGAGGAATAAAACGAGAGCTTTTTAAGACAGAAGCTCTCAAGAAGCTTTTGAAGCTCGTAAAAACTTGTCATCATCAGCTGCTACGGTTCGTTTAACCCTAGAAGAAAGAGATTACGGAAAGAACAAAATCAGTAAAGAGAACAACGCATATAAACCACTGGAGACTGGGACGAAAAGGAGGTACATATGGGAAGCTGGCCGGGGTCCACACTATATCTAAACATTTTATTATTCAGCAAGGACAAACAATAAGGACGTTTGAGTTTGCAGTGATTTTGACGGAAAATTGTGAGTGGTGAGCCGTAAGTCTTGAAAGGAGTTTAGAAACGCCAAAGGTTTCATAACATAATGTCAGTTACGCTAAAAGTCTTTTATAAAGCAAATCGTGTTGTCTTAAAGCAAAATCTCTTAAAACTCAAAAGAACTCATAAGTCTTTGCTGACAGCCACAACTCCGCCCAAATGCTATAGTGCTATAGTCGCTAAGGCAAAAAGCGCTTCTTACGTATGAAATGCAAACAAAAACAGCAGAAAAGAAAATTCTATTTTAACAAAATATGCGCCTTTTAGACAAAGTCGCCGTGTACGATTAGGAAGTTTAGAACTTTCAAGCAGTAATCGTTCATTTTTTGAAAATCAGTTCTAGTCAGGGCACGACACAGGTGGTTTACCAAGCAAGCTGGATATCGTTTTTGGGAGAAAAAGCAATGGAATATCTTTTTGGGGAATAGCATACAGCTGTCTTTCGATACGCGGTCCGCGTACCGCCGGCAGGCTGCCGGCATTCCGCCATCATGCTCTTCCTAACAAACAATGGGTTTGTTTACAGCGAACTGAAAACGAAATAACACCAAAATGGCGTGTAGATTGGCAATGAGGATTTAGGACTTTGTGTGAAAAATTATGAAAAGATTGTGTGTACTGAAAGCGTGCTCAGCTTTTAGGGAGTTAGGTGGCTTTCAAGCCACCCAGAAGCCACCTGAGGTGAAAAAAGTTATATATTTTTCCTCCCACACATAATTTTTCAAACTTTTTAACATAAATTTCATCGACATTCCAAAACCTACAAATTGGTTCCTCGACTCAAACGCTTTCCTCCACGCTTGATTACAGTCCCATAAAATTTTGAATGGCGGCGGCAACGCTACTCCAGGCGCGTTGTGCTGCGCGTGGATACATTATGCCGCCAATTAGGAGAATACAAATATCATCGCGTTTGTTTGATGCTTCTTTGGCGTTTTTCTGTTTTGCTTTGTTCCCTTTTCCCATGATTTTTCTTCTAATGTCTCATGGCGAATGTCGTACTTTTATGGTGATGTCAAAGGGGACTTCGTTTTTTGTAATTTCGCGAATCCACCTCGTGCCGAGGCCCTGGTTTTAGTGTTAATCTAGTTTCAGAATCCGGCAATTCTTTCAAGCGCAAGTGGTTCCGTAGTAAGTTAAGCATTATATGCGTTTTATAACATCCTTAAAACCCTGGCATAATTTCCACCGTCTAGTTCTTCGTAATCTTTGTAGGAAGGAAGCTCAAGCCAATACCTCTCCAACACAAGTCACTGCCCATCCAGATAAATCCTACCTTTTGATTCAACGGGATTGGCGGCTGGAAGACAACCGCTCGCACCCGCAACGTTGTCTGCGCCTCTCTTGCAGGCGTGCTCTTTGATCATCCCTCAACCTGGAGTAAACCTCGAAGCCCCGCCTTCCAGCCACCAACCCGTTGAAGTAAGAGTAATTTTTACTCTTTTACTCTATCCTCTTTTTTAGGTTTTCATCAATTCCATAAAAGCATAAATGACTTAACTGAAAGGACGGTGAGCAGCTGGGAATAACGGCCAACCATGCAGGAAGATGGAAGTATGACTTATACGGCAGTACGCTTTTGTCCATTTGTATGATATTATAATAAAGGAAAGTGATAATACTTCAATATGGATGGGCAGTGTAAGATAACGTTTTTTGCTCGCAAAAGCAAAGCTTTTTCCGAGCTGCTCCCACTCCGGCAGAGATGTCCATGCATGCTGCCTCAAATCAGTATCTTCATCTCAACCACTAGCCAACAAGTTTTCTTCCGTAGCAACGCTTGCCAGAGAAAAACAGCTTTGTCTTGTGAGAAAATATTATATAGAGTATACAAAGTGATAAAGAGCAATAATCTTCTAATGAATGCAAAAAAGCTGAGCAAACTGACTATCAGTTCTAAATATGGGTCCTTGTCAAACCATAAAACTCTTCGGTCATAAGTTGTACTGTCTTGTCTCGTAAATACAAAAACTTCATATCAGCGATAAGCAGTGATATTGGAGTCGTAAAGGATTGAAAAGAATTAAGGATTTTTACAAACGGAGAGCAGCAAATATTAGTCTTGGGCAGACCTCAAAGATATTGAAGGGCCGAGTAACCGAAATTTGCAGCATAAAAACGACCAACGTTTTCTTTCCTTTGTAAACTCAACACAGAAAGGTAAACCTTTATGATACACAAGCTTATTTGTTGCACTGTTTGAAAATGCGCTTTCTAGAGAGTTAAAGCCTCAAACGGGTTTTCCAACAACCTCAGATAATGAAAAAAGATGCGTTTTTGGTTAGATCAGAGAGCGTCGTCTTAGGATTTATGATAAGAACATTGCGGCATGCGCACTCTAGCGTTCGAAAAATTTGCAATAAACCCTCACAATCGCCTGAAGCAGTTTTCCATTTTAAAGCTAATATGCTACTGCGATTGGTCAGCGATCCCTCCCCCCCCCCTCAAAAACCGTCGCTCTTTCAATTGCAGAGGCGACACCCCAAATGCTTAGAAACTACCTTATGCTACATAGGATTCTGTCACATATGACAAGGCACATTGCTTATGCAAGCAGTCACAAGACTCTTAACCGCCTAAACAAAAGTGATCACCCTATGCACCCCTGGAATCGTTTCCATTAACTAAAAGCTATTGATTTGGAAAAAAATGTTTGATAAAAAAAAGTTCTATTGGCATTGCATGAGCATTAAGGCGCAATGTCACTGACCCCGATCAAACACAGCGTTATAGCAATGTATAGTACGTTCGAAAACTATAAAACCCCACTAATCGTGAATGTTGGACTCTAGAAATAAACGGACTATTTTTGCTACCACCTCTGCTACCATCCATACCGATATGAGGTGATGTGCTATCGTACAGTATTTACTGCTCGAATCAAATAAAACTTAACTCGTAGGCAGGTATCGCCACTTTTAGATTCAGAAAACTATACAATACTTCTGAGTAAACATTTTATCGAAAGAAAGACGATGCTAAAATGGCTGTTGCCAAGCATATCCAGTAGCCTAACTTCGTAGTCTACTGGATATGCTCCAAAAGGATTTTCCCTTGTTCTTTCAAGGACCGGTGGTGTTTACGGAGAAAGGAGTTTGCTGACATTTACATGTACGTGTGCGTCATCTTCTTTGCAAAATGCTGTCCTGTAAGTAAAAAATTTCCAGCAGTTTTTACCACTCTGCTCTGCTCGTACTTGTAAGTACGGAAGCAAAACCAACTTTCCTTTCGCAAAAATGGTCCTCAGAAATAAGCGAATCCGCCAAAGTTGCTTCTGCTGAAAATAAATCTTTCTCAAGTCGTGCGAATAAACCTCCTGATACTCGCAACGATTCAGACTAGACTTTTGAGACACATCACCTATAACATCAGCCAACTCTCAAAAGTGTAAGACATTTACTTTCAGAGAAGCTTGCCTTTTTCTTACCATTTATCCATAATTTCCTCGCTAAGCTTAACCGGCCCACCCCGCGTTTCGACGTTACTAGCGCCTTTTCTCATAACTGCTTGATGTGCAGACATTTTCATAACGCGCTCTAGCGTTTGTTAACATTCAGGTTCAAATCTGCACGGATTTGTCAAAGCGAAGCTGTTTCATCCAATGCATTGTGCCGAATTCTTCTTTCTTATTGAACTTTTGTGGGTCTCGTCTTTTGTTCAGCCCTTACATTCCTGGATTCGGTAGGAAACCAGCGATGGCGCAACGAGGTTGTCTCAGTTGCTTGGTTGCCTCCAATGAATTACCGCATCCCGTGGAGCTGAGCTCTTTCTCCATCCAAGGGTAGGATTCACGCGGCATAATCAAAAGGAACGAACATTCCTTTGAGCCCATCGATCATCCTTCCATGCATTTCACTGCGCAGCATACGCTGCACAAGTCTCGCAATTTGATCCAACCTCCAATCATGCACAGTAGCAAAGTTGTTTCAAATAAAGCTTTACAGCTGATAAGAAAAGCATACATGGACTCAGCGTTTTAACCTGAAAGAAGTTGGATTTCTCCCCTTGTGGCTTGCTGAAAATCTCGTAAATGTCGTTTCTACCTATATTTGTTATTTTTTTTTGCGCAGAAACCGGGAGCGCACAAAGAAAACAAATAATGTATTGTCAGCAGCAATCTTGCTTTCATAAACGGTTTTTATTTTGCCCGTGGCTGTGCAAGATTCAAAATGTAAGACGGATTTTCTTCGAACTTCTGAGGAACGCATTATTGCCGAAACGTCTCCTCAAATAAAAAGTTATAGCAAACCTGGTAGGTTCAAAAGAGACTACGGAATATTACAATCTTACAACTAACTTCTTACTTCTTACTTCTTATCATGCATTCAAAGAAAAAATCTACTCAGCCGACTTAAAAGTTTACTAACAATGTCATAAAAATAACATCAATTAATTCCGCAATCTATGTTTAAAAATACAATTTACATCAAAAACTGAACTGTCGAAAGTACATGAAAACAAACACAACATTCAGCAACATGAGAGCTAGCTTCAAATAAATTACATTTCTGATACGTTCCCGCAGATTATTGGAACAGACATTCTCAAAAATATGTTTCCTGAAGGGTACATGGTGCTGAACTCAAGATGGCAATTTATCCGTGCTAGAGTACTCTACCCGTATAAATCGCAAATAATCAACGGAAACTGTATCAAAAACTATTCATTATAAACAATTGAATCAATTGCACCTAAATATACATAATGGATCCAAGGTATCAATTATCACAACTGACAAATCAACATACCTCTTACCCTCGTTAAAAGCACCGTCCACCCAGATTCTCGACCTTCATGTTTTGTTCGTTGCGAGGCTTTCTCATGTACTGATTCCGAATATGAAGAGGAGATTCCGCGAAAACCCCGACAATCCCGGTTCCAGAGAACCCGCGGGCGATTTTCCGAAGGTGATTGGATGAGCACCCACGGATGGGCGGGCATTACTGGAAGAGGCGGTGTTGACTTGGGAATCTGATGCCTCTCCGCTATTTCGAAGCGATTTTCTCGCTTCTAAAGCGACCTTTTGTGCCCCGACTTGGGCATTGGCTTGATTGGGTTTACTATCGTAAATTACCAAAAGCTTAAGACCCTTAACTTAGCATGGACGGTGCCTTTGAGCGAAAGTAAGATTCAGTTGAGGCTGACTAGACGGGAAAGGTCAATTACCGCTCAGGAAAAAGTTTTGAGCTTGTCTTGTCAAAAATCATGACTTTTGGTGTTTCACCAAAGTCAATATATTGTGAGACAGGAAACAGATTACTAAACGCACAAACAAGGAAATATTTGTATTGCTTGACCAAGGGAGAGAGTATAGTCCCATATCTGTACCAGTGCTGCGAGCATCCAAAATGTGTCAAATTACTCGCATTTATTGCCTGAAAAGATTGTACGAAGACAAAAGTATGGGAAAATCAAGAATACTTTGCAGACTGCATAGAGGATGTAAAGGTAATGGATTTTGCGCGATAGCTTTTTATTGTACGAAAAAAAGTAAAAACATGAAAGCATTTGAATTACCACCATCTTCTCAATTCTACTTGGACCTTACCTTGCAGAGTTCACGATCTTTCCACCCCGCCCATATTTTGACGGTTCGTGTAACGAGATAGTCGAGGTTCTGTGTTTTGGGTTCGAAGCTGCATAACAGAAAAAAATTAATAAGAAATGTGGAGTTCTAGACTTACTTGTGCACAATAGCCCACATATTGAGTTCAAGGTAATCAGCCTTTTTCATCATTTTTGCATATCTGTCGGCGTCATTTTGCATGTAGCAGTGATATTGCTTGAAAACAAACTATTCACTTATGCTGGTCAAGATAACTATACGTAATTCTCTCAACATGATGCATAGAAGAAAAAGACTTCGATTGTCTCTAGGAAGACTAACACAGCATTTTGACGAGAAAGCTCCAAATGTAGCAGAGTTAGTGTAAAAAATGTGTAACTGACCAACTTGACTGGCAGATTGCATCTATGCTTGATCGCCAATGCGAACGGATAGATCCAATTCCGTGGAAACCGCGAACCCGGCCAACATTTAGTTTCTTCTTTAGGCGCTGCGCAGGAAAACACAGCAGTGGCCACAAGCTAATGGTAACATTCATAAAAAAGAGATAGCGATAGACGAACTACTTACTATCAAGAGAGTGCAGTAGGTCATTTCTGAAACGTACTCGCATTTTCGAACGCTTTTATAGTGAACAGCCACACTTTATGACCTACATGAAAATCAGGCAAGTGCACACCCTACACAACGAACGCAGCGCAGTCGACGATAATCGCACAAATTCGATCAGTCGGATCTAAAAACTTTCATTCCAAACATTTGTGTTTTGTTCTTCATAAGTTTATAGCTGATGTGAAGCTAATTCGTGCTACATTACAATAGTCTGTCGTGGCTAAAAATTGTGTGAGATCTTGTTAAGGATATTACAAACAGTTTCTTTTGGGGAAAGGATACGTGGTCGTGACCTTTAAATATGTGACATATGTGATGACATTCGCATTGAAACGCTGATCTAAAAACAGTGCTCGTTATTTGCGAAACGATATGTCAGAAAAACGTATCCCGTCGCATTTAACCATCATAAAATGATTGTTTGATTACCTTCAGTTGACTTGACTATTATTTTTGAGCATATACCTGAGTGTGAAGGAAACTATGATTCGTAGGTTGTCAAAATTTGAGCGCTGTCCATGATTTTTATACCGCATGTTGAATATGCATTTATGTATAGGTAATTTGATAGAGACATTTATCCGCGGCATTGCGTTTTGAGGCGGGTGACTCTGTAACATTATGGAAAGTGCATTGTCTTCAAGTTTATTGCCATTGTAATATAAGTGCAAAGCGCTTAACTGTTCCATTTTCCCCCACTAGTGACGTTTCTTCCCTGTCTACTCTGCTAATGGCACAACTATAAAGTTGAACACATTATACCATGTGATGACTTACAAATGCATTGCCAGTTTATGACGTCATGTGCCTGTTATTGTGTCGTACATTCTGAGTACAAAGACTGTCGACCATGTCCTTTCAAACAGCTTTAACATCGTGTAAAACTTTGGTCCCGTACAGAAACGAAGATTTTCATGGCATCCTCTATGCCCTTTTGATTAGCTCAGACTGTTCATAGCTTCCATTTTCAGTAGCTCACTACGTACTCAAACCAGGCTTCGCAGAAAGTGTCTTGAATCTTTGTTCGTTGGCATTACCTTCCCCTGCTGTCCTGGCAAATCTTGAGGTACTAACCCGTGGAACTGGCTCTTTTCGATTTATGGCGCAAACCACCAATTCCTCTCCCTTACCGTAGAATCACGGTATAGACTTGCTACATAACGGCATCCTACAAAACTGCAATTTTAGAAGATTTCTGAAACATCCCTTTTGTGGTGAGTTGACAAATGAGCTGAGTTCACGAGATGACGTTTACATATTTATAAGTAGTTTATATAGTACGATCAGATTTCTGAAGGTGGACATAGTGTTTTTTAGGTACAACTGGCGTTACTATAAGACGAAGGCCTGGTGACAAGAAATGCTTAGTAATTGGAGCCGAAAACCTCAAATTACTTTACAGCAACTTTACAGCAACATTCCTAGCTTCTTTGCAGCTCTTTTAGGCAAATAGTGCTCAATGGCATCAAATTCTTTTCGAAATTCGACCGCAACCCGCACTGATGATACTCCATGTTGTTGACCTCAGTATACCCAGCTCTACATAATGTCACTTAAGTTGAAAAAAGGTTCCTAAGGACTACTAAAAAGCAGAGATACCAGTAAGCAAATATAGGGGGTTCTCTGGGACAGCTTATATAATAAGACTCAGTGTGGTTCGTAGAATTTGTGCTCAGCAACATTAACATCCATATAGGACAACGAGCACAGCCGCATAATGCCACATAGTTCAATATTGCTAACAAGGGAATGGTCAGAAATCGAAGTGGCCAATTCAAGCAAGCTGCATACCTTTCGATGCAACATAGAATGCTGATTTCAAATCTATCTTCCATATCTGCAGAGCGTCTTTGTAGGCGAAGTTATAAGCCGTTAAAGGTCATTATTTTGCTAAGAAACTGTGCGTATAAAGGGCAAACTTGGCCGTACAAAGCCATTCTCGGCTCAGTGTTGGACCAACACATGCAACTAGGTCACTTCATATGGCTCGTACCTAGAGGTGAGCTAAAAGAGCAATAATGTGCATAAATTCGCAGTTTTTGTGTACGATTTTTTCGCAGTAAAGCTGCCCATAACTGCCTACAAAGGCGCTCTGCAGATACGGAAGATAGATTTGAAATCATCTATGTTACATCGAATGGTATGCAGCTTGCTTGAATTGGCCACTTCGACTTCTGACCATTCCCTCGTAAGAATTTTTTGAAAAAAAAACAAAGAGACCTTGAAACAATTTCTAGAATCTTCTCATATGCTAGTGACATTTTGCAATGTGCTACGCATCTCCTTAAGATGATTGGTTTTATCACTTTTTTATATCTTCCGTTATACATGCTCCCCTTATATGTTCTTAACCCGTTGACGACAATGTGGATCACCGCTGGTCCACGCACTTTTTGCTGCCAGGACGATATGGACCACCGGTGGCCCACACCCCTTGCAAAGTCATATTATTGATAGGCCTAGTATTTTATCCATGTTTATCACATGTTAACAATTTGCTCAATTTTAGCACTTTTGGGACCTGTAGGGTCCGTCGTTAAAGAGAGAAATGTCTAAAGCTGTTAGCAAAACAATCTTGCAAATCGAAAATAAGCACAAACCTTCCCACAACACCGAAAGTGTTGTGCAAAATCGCGTCGTCCCACAGCGCCGCCACGCAAAATTAGGCGTCGTCGTCAATAAATTAATATTTTCACTAAACTAGCGCTCTTTCATGTTTCCATACGTGCCACTTATCGTCTCGAGGTATTCTTCCACAATATGCCAGAAAATCATACGGCACCATCTTTTATTTGATTTGGTTCCGTTGGCGGTGGCTTGTATCCAAATTTAATATGACACCTATCAAACCTTTGTGGCTTTCGACCCATGAGCCCGGGTCAGGTCAGCTATACCGATGTACAGGGGGACAGTAGTACACAGTAGCAGCTAATCATATACATAGATGGTCTGCTCCCAATTTTTCTACTAGCTTGAAACTATCTAGTGTTTCGTAGTATTTTCTAGAATTTTTAGAACGACGAAATACTCAAGAGGACCTTTTGCAAGGTTTTTTGATCTTCTTCGCTCCGAAAAAGGCGTTGCTCACTTCGGACCGAGATTAAAACTTTAACTTCGATCTTTTCCACTGCTCGAACAAATAATCGAAGTTGAGCTTTACACTCTATGGTCCGCTCAAGAACATTTTGTAACAGATCGTTTAGCGATATATAGACCGAAAAGTGCCTTAGCGGCTTTATTTTATAATCTATCGCAAAACAAGTGATATTCAGAGGATCTGATGTTATAGTATGTACACATAAATGCAAACTGAAAACATCACTGGTAATAATGCGCAACATAAGGATTGAGTACAAGGATATAAAGCGAGTACAATCAGAGATAAAATGAATGTTGAAAAAAAAATGAAAATGAGACCCATGTTGAGTGTGTGCGTCGGGTTGCGTGATATAAGTAAAAATCCAAAGGATGGTTGTAGCGGGCCTATGACATTTTCTAACACTTGTTTGCTGCTAACACAAAACTGAGCTGGATCAAGAGAGGGGTTGAGGGGGGGGGGGAGAGAGAATGACAAGTTAAAGCGAAAAACTTTAAAATGTTCAGGGATACATCGTCACACAATGTCATAGCACTTCATGTTTGGCGAATTTAAGCGAATACAACGGCAAATAGAAATTCTTACAAAACACCATCCACTCTGTCATGAGATATATCAGGGAATGAAATTAAGGGAGTTTATGGCGTCTTACAGTAAGCCGGACTGTTGGATGCTGTTTGATTAGCTGGATAGCTTCTTCATGAGTTAATCCCTTCGTATCGCGCCCATTTATGGATATCAGCTGGTCCCCTACCTGAATATAAACTTTGAAACCATAATAAAACAAAAAGGACATCCGGCGCTCGAACTCACCCTCAACCGTCCATCCATCGCTGCAGGACCATCTTCAGCAATGCGAAGCACGAATAAAGGCATAGCACCAAACTCTTGGCCACCACGAATTGAGAAACCGAACCCGCGCACACCACGCTCCAATTCGACAGATATTATAGGCCCATCCTGAAGTACTCAGCAAAATTATTAAACTTTCCGGACATGGAAAACAATGCTGACGGGAAAAATGAAAACTGATTATATCACATGCGATTATGTGGTGTTATAACGAGGGCGCGAACAGGAAAGCTTCGGGGTAGATAGCCAACATGCACTATTGTAATGGTTCAACGCAAAATGTCCCTGATTTAGCCCAATCTTACTATAAAGTGACCCTATAAGGCCGTTCATTCTCATGAATATATACTTCTAATTATGTCTGCAGCCTTCATGTTCGTTTATTCTTATGTTTGTCTATCTTTTTGGGATAGAATGTGATACCCTGTACTAAGAAGCTGCGCAAGATTAGTTACGGAGTCCGAATCGGTTTCACGTAATTACCAAATCTCTATACCATAAACTGTTCGCGGTCATTCGAAAGGGGCATGCCAAATATTAATATTGTCCTGGGGAGGAGAGAAAGAAGGACGGAATTGCATCGTCATCATAATTCGAGAAAATACATTATATTATACTTTGCTTGACTATGGCCTGCAATTTGAGTCGTTGTTCCTTTTGCTCCATTTACATCCTTGCTAAAAAGGACACCTGTCTTTCTTTGTTCCACTGCAGTAAGCGATGAGTTTTTCGAAATATGGGAGCAGGGAACGAAAATCGGGTTACGTAAAGACGAAAGTGTGTTCAATCGTCGTCGGACCCCTCTCCGCTACCGTTTGCTCACTCAATCGCTATGATTTTCGACAACATTTTCGGAGTGTTCTTTTATTCTTATCATGTTCTTCGCAATTTAGAAATGTTCCCAAGTTGAAAGCTTATTGAGAAGCTCCCATCTAGTACGACTTCTGAATTGAACTTGTATGGTTTCTTCTAACCCGAGTAAGTTTTAATAGGGGATCTAAATAAGAAAATGAGTTCCGCTTGTCAAGTAATGGAATAAGAAACGCATAAGATTGACAAAACGAAGTGTGCATGCGGCTATATAGCACCATAGGATTTGGCCTGGAGTAGATTCTAAAGGCATGCGGCCGGAAAGAAGAACGAATTCTGCCATTTTTGAACCGCCTCAGCTGGCAGCTGGTCCTTTTGCAACATTGTTACCTGCCGTTGCAGGACCAGTAGACGGCGGAGGCGGCCCAAACTGGCGGATTTCGTTGCTCCATCCCATAGGGCCCATCAAGCAGCCGCATTGGAATCCTTGTTTCTATTCAATTCGTTTAAATACTTTTCTCCGCCGAGGCGTATGATTCTGGTGTTTTGCTTCCCATGTCACCAAATCTCTTGAAGAGATTAAGATAGTCAATAAGAGTGCTGAGTTTTGATATATAATGCGTTGTTTAGCCGCTATGTTAAGAAACTTATTAGTGCAAGTAGAACGAGCAAGATATGAAGGGGGTAAGCGTAGGCTCAAGGGTTAAAGCTACAGAGTTACACTGACAAGGGAAGGATGGTCAGTCGAAGTGGCCTTTTGCGATGAATTGCGTACAGTATTGGAGGCATGAAACGCTGATTTTAAATCTGCCTTCCTTATCTGCGGCGCGTTCCTGGACGAGGAGTTATGAGCGTTTATTGGAGAAGAAAACTGAATGTGCAAATAATATAAAAACAGTAGTAACATTATTCCTAACCCTTAAATGAACCAGCGGTAACCTTTCCAGCACTCTGTAAAATAAATGCTCTTAAGTGAGATATATTCGTACTTCGGCTGTTCCATTCAAGCGCTGGGAAAATTTTAGCAACTGTTTTTATTCCAGAAAACACTCATTTTTTCTTCCTTAAACGCTCGTAACTCCTCGTCCAGAAACGCGCCGCAGAAGGAAGATAGATTTGGAATTAGCGTTTTTCCCTCCACCATTGTATACAAGCCATCTCAAATGGCCACTTCGATCAACCAACCTTCCCTTGTGAGACAGATGCACTGGATGCTGGGAGCAAGACCCGGGATTCGGATGACCTTTAACCTCACCGAAGGCATGTGGATGGCGGCGAATCGGCCGGTGTCATTGTTTCGATTGCTTGCATATCGGCTGATTCGCTGTATGTATCGAAAACACAGGATTCCTCTAAGGCCAGCAGCAAACTTTCACAACTCGGTTGCTGTGAGAGGTAAGTGATCTACTTATGAGTAATAAGTGCTGGCGTTTATGTTGAAAACATAATGGAAGCATGAAATACGTTTGGAACTAAATCTGCAAGCGTTAAACTAGCGGTTCTGAGGTCAAAGACTAACAAAGAATTCAAAGGGGAGTAATCTACCAGGTAAAGGGGAGATAAGAGGTAAAGTAAAGCTCTTACCTGTTCTGGAGGAACTGGGTCATTCAGGCTCAGTCCGTTCATCTGCCCATTGATGTGCGAAGAAGAGGAATAAACGGGTCGTCCCACATCGGCATATGTTGAGTACTGCGGGTTCCCCTTGAATGCTGAACCATTCGTATACGAAAATGGCACTGGAGTCATGGACGGTTGTGGGTATGAAGCATAGTTTGAACTCTGGAAAGGCGTAACCTAGAATTGAGGCCCACCAAACCAAAAAACCCCCACCCTTCCTACAGTAGCGTATAGTCCCCCATTTTGAAATATGGGTGGTGGTGGAACAAAGGAATTCGGCGGCGACGGAGCATACATATTTATGACACTAGACCGATTCAGCGTGCTTGACGCTAACGGACTACCGTCAGACATAGGTGGAGCGATGGTAAGTCGAACTGTCAAGCCAGAGGCCTATAATAAGAAAAATTTCGGTCCCTTCTGGGTAATGGAAGTATCAGACCGAACCTTTATTAGCCCAACAATTTCTCCATGGGTAAGATTAAGGATGTCGATACCATTTACGGCTACGACACGGTCGCCCACTTTCAACCGTCCGCATTTTTCTGCTGGAGAATTTTCCAAGATTTGTCCTGAAAAAAATAAGATACAGCTTTATCAATCGTTTTCCATGAATTTTGAATAGTTAAAATTTATCAACAGCACGGACTGGCTTTCACTACAGCGCATGCAATGAAATTCTTATCCCAGTACAAGTCGCAGTTGCACAAACCGTGTTCTCGCAACGCTTTAGTTGCCAGTCCGCGCGATCAGTAAATAGAGGATAGATAGAGCTAAACATTTGTTTGTATGTCTGTATGCCTGTCTGTCTGTATGTACGCATCAGTATAGTTGACTGCACGGAATCGCCCCAACTGAACAACACCCGCGCGCGTGTCTCTTGCGAGCTAACATTGGCATTCGCGCGCATGAGTCAGCATGGCGTCCGTACTCAGCGGCCGCGTTGCAGGCACGCTCGCGTGCGTTTAGCCTACAGCGACCCGAGCGATTTCGTGCAGGCGACTTTAGCGGCCTCACGACTTCAGTTTGGGGGGGGGGGAGGGAGAGGACAAAAAATTTCAAGCAGTGCACATGGTGGGCATAAAAATGTGTAGGTGATAGTGCGTGCAGGCCATATAGGTGACTTTCAAAAATTTCACGATCCATGGGATGGGAAGGTGGTGGGGCTCGCCTCCCTCGGTCCGCCACTAGAATGTATGTATGTATGTATGCCTGTACGTACGTTCCAAATAAAAAGTTCCATACACCAACTTGGATCAAACTTTGCTCACATACAATTCGGGACAAAGCGAGTGTTGTAGGTTACTTTTCGTTATTGATAGGTATCGATTCCTTGCAATGCTTGAGTTATGGGGCTGGAAGCTGAGATAAGTGAGCGTGCTCATGAAAACACGGAAACAGGGGGATGGCATGTAGAAGTGGGAAAGGGAGAGGGAAGTGTTATGTGAAAGTGGCACAATATGGTGATTACTATCACGCTGTGTGAAGGGAGTAAAAGAAGCTGGGTCTCATTTGTTTAAGGACTGAAGAGCACTGCTTCTCATATTAGAGAGGAATAGAATAAGACTACTGCTTGAAACGGCGGCCGTTTTGCACTACAGTATCCAACATCCTCAGCGGGTGCCGCACACGACTGCGGCCCTGTACGAAAATGCTCCAACGGCACTACGGTCGTGGAAATCGGTCGACACAGCTGTTTACTCATTTTTTGAAATTCTGAGAATTACCTATGGTAGATCCATTCCTACTGAGCGATGATATGATAATAAACCCAAATCCATCATTTTCATTCCGAGTCAAAGTCACGTCATACTCTCCAGACGCAGTCGTTGGATTAGCCGGCTGCCTTTCTGTGTGAAACGTTTGTCGACGATCTCCTCCTTCAAAAAGCAAATAAAATCAACATTGAAAATTGCTGACAAATAATTTACCTAGTCTCGGTCGTCGCACAACAAGCTTCACATGCTTATTATGAGCCGCATGTTCCAGAAGAGAAACGGCTTCAGCATGACTGACTCCTTCAACGTTGCGACCATCAATTTCGACGATTTCATCGCCTTCTTGCATTCGTCCATCTTCAGCCGCAGCTCCACCAGGAACGACCTGACCCACGGTCAATAAGGTATTGGTCTGGAAGATTCGACATATTACTATCAGAAAAATCACATGTCATAGCAAGTCAAGTGTTGACAAAAATCATTGAACGTCGATAATAATCTCTAGGTTTATACAATAGAAGTCTAAATGAATAAGTGGTTTTGCTAAAGACTGACCTCACTCCCACCAAGCAGCCGGAAACCAAAACCACTGGGTTTTCGTATCAAATTCACCGTGATCAAATCAGTTGGCCTAAAATGTAAAGTGAACGTATTTCATTGTAAGGATACTTCATTCCCTTTCATCTGTAACAACCGCGGAATTGGGATATATGATTAAAGAAACAGCAAACACATCAGAATACTTTGGCGAATGAATCGAAAATTTCCAAAATTCAGCTAGCAAAGCAACGCTAAGGTATTTTAAGCTGCAGAAAAAATGTAAAAACCTATTTTTTGCCGTTTTTAGCATTTTCACGAAAATCATAAGTTTTTATAAAAAAGCTCAATCAGCACAAATTTGGCACTGTTAGAGAGAGCAGCTCACAAAACCTATGAGAAACATGCTCCCAGAATTTTCTTCAGCGTTTCAGATTTGTAGCGATTTATCTTCAAAAACTGAGAGTTGAGTGTTTCTCATTTTCGAATTTTTATTTCTGAAGTCCCTTGTCCTCAGAGAGCCGCGAATATGTTGCTGGAAAGTAAAAGAACTTTTTCTTTTTATGATATTTTTTGTAAACAAATATGTTCACATAGAGAGCAGATACGAATTTTTCAAAATCAAATCGACGGAACTTGCAATTCAACCTAATATTAAGATTTTTGAGGAATTCGGCTCAAGATGTGGAAGTCAGATGGATTGTAAATAAATAATTCTAATCACTATCGTTACTTATTACAGTTAAGGGGCTCTAAAAATTATTCCAGACAACCGAGCACACATCGTTCTTTACACTATCAGTGATCCTCAAGCAACTCTTCTCAGTCCAAAAACTGGTCTTTAGACAGCTAGAATTTTGTCTGCTCTTACGAATAAGTTTATAGGTTCAAAATTCACAGCTAAACTTTATTTATATTTATTTATATGATTCATTACTGCTCTACGCATCTAATGATGTATAATACACTTAATAAAGTTAAACAGCTGTACAGATGAAATGCACTCATTTTCAATTTTTTTCCAAACTTTTTGTAACCTCTATACTGTCAGGAGGCAAATAAACTGGACGTAAGTTTTCATACATGAGAACTTACTTGTTGAATTGAAATGCACTCAAAGGCATGTAATTTGGTGTTGCGAATCCCAACGATGTTGATGACGGTTTCATTCTTGACGCTCCATCCCAAGTGTCCACAGGTGCCACATTTGGTTGCTTCAAAACAATATTTTCGGTAAAAGAATATCCAGAAAAATTAACAAAAATTGAAGCTCAGTAAATAAAGCCTATAATCTGCGAAAATCGTACCCTTTGCAGTGTTTGCGCTCGATTCACTGGCATTTGTGTTGGTTCAGCTTCGTGTCGTCCACCGGGAACCGGCGCAGGCGTTTTTGAACGAGGCGACACGACGGGCAGCGGGGTGGCACGGGTTTGCTCACCGTACCGGAATTCAGCTGCAGGTGTTCGAGATCTGCAAATGTAATGTTTAAATTTTACGATAAAATTTTTGGGAACACAATTAGAAAATGATAAGGAAATAACTGTACAAAAATAAAGCAAAATTTAAAACATGAAAAAACTTAAATAAAAGGAAATTTGAAAGTGTAAGAGGGATGGAGAGAAAGATTGTAGCAATTAAAAATAACTGTCTTGAAAGCTGAAATAAGCCTACGTCCACGTACGATCTGCAGAAAAGTAGAATTGTGGCACTACCATTGGGTCCGAGAAATTTTCCTAGATGGGGGGGGGGGGAGGAGAAGAGCGACAGAATTTCTTAGCAATGCTAATTTTATTTATTTTGTTTTTATTTATTTTCTTTTTGATTTTGATTTAATTAGATATTGAAAAAACTCCAATTATTTACAGTTGCGTTGTGGTTACCTGCACACTTTTAAGGCACATGTCCATTTATATCGGACTGATTATTGAAAAAAAATAGGGGGGGGGGGGGACAGTTTTGAAGGAACGAAAAAATAACCTAATCTGTCTAAGTACAGAAATGCACTAGTGCAATTCCTCTTCTCGAACACGACTTACATTGTCAAAAACGTTGTCTGTTTGCTCTCCCAAAAATTTTCAATCTTTGGACCCCGCAATTTTTTTCAGATTTGCAATTAATTCTTGCATCCATTCTTTCTTAAATAAACATCAGTATTCTGCAAATTTCTGCTCACAACGACATCTTTTAAGTCTGATTTTTGAGCCCAGCTCATTTCAGAAAATTTGGTGGAAGGAGTTCTAAATTGATTTCAAACCCGTAATTGCTATGAAGTGTGTGATACTAAACAAATTCCACGACTTTTCTCTATATTAAAAAATACAAAGTGACATAAAGATTCAGGAGGGGTTCTGCGCATTTTTTATACTGACGAAATAAATTTTAAAAAACTCGTTGCTGGAAGTTTATGTTTTCATTGCAAGCAAGTACTGAACCCTGATGTCCATGTAATGATTTTTTAAGCGGTTATAAAAATAGAAAATTAGTCCAAGTGACCAAGAACCCTTTTCAAGGCAAATCGCGAATAACAAGCAAAATAAAAACAAAAAGCTAAGATTACGCACCTATGCTTGGGCGAGCTCCTCCGAACTACAAGCCGACCACGGTGTCCTATGGGACACTCCCTGAGCATATCGACCAGTTGTGTATGGGGTATGGCTCGAACATTACGACCATCCAATTCGACGATTGTGTCACCTTCCAACAAATTGGCACACTGTTCTGGGTAAAGGATCTTTTTCACGCGTTGACCCTGAACATGAAAAATAAATTTAGCACAAATGAGTGAAAAACACATGATTGCGAAAGAGTGGAAAATTCAGGAAATGATGAGTTCTAGCTTACAAACGTTTAACTTTATTGATTACTTATCAATTAAAATTTTGGTTTAGTTAGATTTGGAAAATACAGAGGCCCAAAAATTTGTTCATTTAAAAATTAGGGTACTCTTGTCAAAAGTAAAAACATATTCTCCAAACATGGAAAATAACCAACTTTGGGAGCATTTTCTCTTGGTAGCTTTGTTTCTAGCCAAACTCAAAACCTTTTCTCCCTGTCTAACCGGCAGCTCATATAAGAAAACCGAACTTCTAAACTTTCGCCCGGTACCGTACTCATGCGCTGATTGGTCCGTTTAGGGAAAGTACGGTACTGGGCGAGACTTAGAATTGAATTTTTGGGCCAGTACGCAACACTCTACCACTCGTGACCAGATAATTCAATTCTACGTTTTCGCCCGGTACCGTACTATTTGCGAGCGGACCAGTCGGGTACGGTACTGGGCAAGGATCTTAAGCGGCATTTCGCAGACATGAATCAACCATTTGCGCTGCCTTTTGAGCGATGGCTCAGAAAAGGCCTGCCAGTCAGACTCCACAAAAAAAAATTTAGGCACCCGACTATCCCGACACTGCCAGTGAGCTCAAGAAATCTTACCGTAGCACTGTCAGCGATCGTGAATCCAAAGCCTTCTTTTCCTTTGATAATCTCTATGTCGTGCAAATCTCGACTTCTGCCTCCAGTTTGGTACACATTTTCCGTGATTATCTGAAAAAAAGTTATGCTAAGTGCACAGCATCAAAAATTGATCAAAAATGTTTACAAAAATCACTTGAGATGCTGTAAGTCATAACAATATTTAGAAATTTAGCGAGTGTAAAAACTAGAAATAGGGGGTATCATCTTGAGAAGGATCAGGTGACGTTTTCAGTGCCAATGAACAATTCCATATTTTTTCAAATATGATCCTAGAACGATAGGCAAATCAAATGCGAAAAAAAATTGACGTTTATTCAATTCCGAGGGAGCTGCGGTCCGAACAACATCAGAGATTGGCGCATTCTTGTTTTTGCAAAGTCAGGATAATTGAAAAATATGATTTGTTCAAATTTGTGGTTCCGATAAAAGTGCATCGGCTCCATGTTTTGGAAAGTTTGAATAGGATTTTGAGCAAAATCAAACGAAATAAAAATCTAAGCAATCATCACAATGCCGAAACACATAGAAGATAAGGGGCAAACACTTTTGTCAAAGCATATAAATCAGAATGTGACGCACAAGACATGAAAATTTTCAGAAAAAATTTCTCGAAGTACATTCGGTGCTAAAATTGAAATTTTCTTACCCTATTTGATGGATCCAACAGCAACGGGTAACCACGACAGACTTGAATAGCCACCGGGTCTCCCACGGGGATGTTCACGAAAATTCGACAAGCATCCGTTTGGGAAGCACCAAGGAGAAGTTCACCATTCACTCGGACCAGGACATCACCGGCTCGAAGAACACCATCTTCAGCAGCGGGACCACCAGGCAAGACGGATTTCACCTGAAATTTCGAATGGATTAGATACACCAATAAGTATCCGTTGATTCAACGAGATTGGCAGCTAGAACTCGACCGTTGCCCGCGCCGCTTCCTGCGTCTCTCTCACGAAAGTGCTCCCTGATCATTCTCTAGCTTAATTAAGTCGTGAAGCCCCGCCTTCCAACTGCCAATTCAGTTGAATCAAGGGATAGTACATTTTAATGGTCCAATAATGTGATGGAATGTTGAGAACCAAGAAATTGGGATTAATACTGAAAAGACTGAAGATTGTACTCTCGCCCAGTACCGTACTCCTTCCAGATGAACGCTTAAGGTATGGTAGTGGTCAAGAGTTTGCAGATTGATATCTAGCCCACAAATGTATGGAATGGTTACCGTTTCAAAAACTCTCAGTTTAGGAATCTTCTGATTCTAATGTACACCACTGATCTGAACGGATGTTGTCTTTGGGCAAAAAATATTTTTTAATCCGGAAAAATATTTTATACATGTTTACGAAAGATTCAAAAAATTGCAAAAACTATGTAGGATTTCCACTATCTCTGGAATACTCCTAATTTTTCAAAGACTGAGGTTCGATTTCAATTCGATTTCGAATTTTTAAACTCGTTTTTCTCCCCCCCCCCCCCCCCGCTTTGCATCAACAAGCGAGTTCCGAAGAAAGGCATTAGGCTTCGAAAACTGTCACGTTCCAAAGCTCCATTTTGTCTCCTCGGGGATTAACCCATATTTCTCGCGCTGTCACATAGATTCACTCCAGTATAATGTCAGCTTTTAGCTACTAGATTGAATGCCCGATAAAAAAGTGGATTCTTCCGATGTGGGTCTGGGAGGCCGGGGAGGGGGGGGGAGGACTGGGAGAAGTTGAGGACCTATACGACCTATACTTCTGGAAACGGATTTATTACGATTTATTGGACGCCTGTTTTTGTTATCAAGAAATTTGAATCCTCAGAGCTACTGATTCGAAGAAATACTCATATAGATTATATGAGTAAAATCTCCCCCCCCCCACCCCTCCATCTCGGTTTCTCCTTACCCCTGTTCTCTCCCTCTTTGCCTCCAATCGTTACTCTGTCTCGTATCTTAGCCTCGTTAGTTCTTAAATAAACAAACCTACCCGATTAGATTTCGCATACCCTTAAGCCCTAGTCGATTTCATGCTAAAAGCAAACCAACCAGAAAACATCCTCTCCTCCCCCCCCCCCTCCCCCCCCCCCCCCCCCCGCCCGCCTATAGGCCAATAAATGGTTTTACACTGCCTTAGACACCATTTCTTTCCTACCCATTAATAGGGTGGTAAAATGTGCCAAGCAGCGGCACATTGTACCCAACAATAAAATGTGCAATAAAGGCTAGCATATTCTGAGGAATACGACATACTGTGGGAGGTTTTTCGGAGTAGATGTAATGTGGCGAATAGATTAGCAGCAGGGATTGGTGAGATCAGAATTTCAGCAAGGGAAAACTAGGACACAATAATTTTTGATTCACTTATTTATCAGTAAAAATGAGAGAAAAAATTTCGACACATAGAAGGGCAAACTTCCCAATTCGTTATTCTCTCCTAGGCGGACATGTGAAAAATCACTAGACAATCCCATCAGCAAGACTCCATGAGTTTTGTTACCATTAAGAAGATGGATGTGACTACTGAGTCCAAGTATGGGTAAGCTCCACCCAGCGACGACATTATGTGCAAGCTCCGCCCACTCCAACGACGAAGTCGGTAAGCCCACTAGCAAGATATTTCTAATAGATCAAGCGGCTAACATACGAAGCATGGCAGTTTAAACATGGCCCCTCCCCCGCTCTCAATCCCCTTCTCGTGAAAGGATCACAAAATTTTCAAACTTTCATGAATTGAATAACCTCATCAACCGCTTATATTCCTATGCATTCGAAATATTCGCAAAGTTTATAAAAATTAAGATAACCCAATTACAAAAAAACCCCCTTTTGTATTTTAATTACCTATTCCCCCTCCCCCTCGGAACCACCAATGCTACAGGAAGTGAACGCGAAAAAATTTTCGTCCACTTCCTTTCTTTGTGATAAGACTACGTTTTTATGGACAAGGCTTCAAATTTAGCTAACTTTGTGGAAAATGAGGAAATAATCTTATGACTGCTAAAAACTATACCATTGCATGACCAAATCTGTAGTCTCCTTCCCCCCCCCCCCCCAACCCTTCATCTCCCCTTTCAAAAAGTAGTTTTTGCTTGGAATTCATCTCTGAAGACTTCTTTATGATCAAAATCAATGATCAAAAATCACGTCAAAAGCTTTATAAGATTTATAAGTAATTACAACCTAAAGTTTTTTACTCAAGCTTTGTAAATTTCCAAGAAGAATTTATACGAAGCTTTTTTTTCAAACTTATGAAAAATGCTTGTTATCAACTTTACCTGTATAAATTCATCGCCTTTGCTGGATGCATCATTGCCTATCAATGTAAATCCGAGTCCTTTGGCACCTTTTGTGATAGTTGTCGTGACCATTTCCCCACGTAATTGAGCTGGATCCCGCGTGAAATACGGATTAGATCCTCCCGCCGGGATCATAGGTTGCCTGCTTTTGATATGTTGATTCTGTGGTGAGTGTTGGTGCCCATTCGTTGTGATCTGCAAAATTTCAAACTCGAAAAATTCTCAAGCCGGACGAGTTATCTTGTATTTGGACAAGTTCGCCCATTCTCACCCCATTCGCCATATGACTACTACTGGCCGTGGTGGGTATCGGTTCATAACGTGATGACATCGTCGCTCCGGACGTACTCGGTCGTTCGTATTGCGTCTTTTTATTGATGTGACTGAAATGAGTGGATTCTGCAATTTCTCGTCGCGGCTGGCGGGGGGTCAAAAACTAGGAAGGAATTGCAGTAAATGAAGTAATTCTGCTCTTCAAAACGAATTATGCGGGGGTCTGAAAACGCGCGACGAAGTGCAGGATTGAGTTGATTGAATGTCAACGACTAGCACATCAGTGAATAAGCATTTCTTTTTTACTGTAATTTCCTGAATATTTTTGATTTGTTTAATGATTTTTTAAGAATTTTCACTGAGGCACGAATATCTATAGCCAATTTAAAGACTTTTGCGCATTTTCAACAAAAAAATATGTCTGTTCAAATTTCTGGCCAACTATAACATCTATGGAAATTTTCATTGAGAGAATTTTATGGTACATGTAGGTAAGAACGCGCCCATAAATTTGCTATCGGGAATTTTCATTAAGATGGTAATTTGGCCAATCATAATTTTTTTTTGAAAATTTTCATAAAGGCGAATTATTTTTAGTCAATCATATTTTTGGAGAATTTCATTGAGGTGAAAATATTTCTGGCCAACTATAACATCTCTGGAAATTTCCAATAATTTGGGAACTTTCCGCCAACAATTTTCTCCTGAACTTACCTCAGTATCAAATATCCTGAATGTTGATTTTCCATTACCCTATTTTCAGGTGTATAAGCCGCACCCTTTTCACTCTAAAGGCGAACACGCCAAAAGACTGACTGTCATCATGGAGCGCGTTAAGTGAGAGCAGTACGCGATAAGGCGACCGCTTCGCGAGACATATGCGCGGCGGCACGCCTGGGTCTGCTCGCGTTTAGAGCAAAAAGGGTGCGGCTTATACACCTGAAAATAGGGTAATTTGAAATCAACAAGTTCAATAGAGGAGTAGATAGAATTGAAGCAATTTATTTCAGTCAAATAAAATGGCCAAAATTCTTGAAAAAATTGTTTGCATGCTTTACACATGCTGATGACAAGAAAGTAAGTGACATATAAAACAGAATAATTAAAAATAGGAGTGGGGGGGGGCAGGGGGATGATCTAGTTAAAATATCAAACGCCGCCTTATGAGTTATTAACTCATGAGTTATTGACAAGCAAATTATTCATAGGTACAAGTGCTGAACCCACTCTCGAATCAAAAAATACAAAACTCAAAAAAAACATGGATTTTTACTTTTCAATAAAAAAAATGAAAATCTCCTTTCAAACCCGGCATGACGCCCCTATAGGAAAGAAGGGGGTTCACTACATATACGAGATGATAACCAGCTTATATACCAAAACAACTGGACAACAACAAACAAAACTGGACCAAAACAATTTTAACTAAAAATGCCTACAATTACTTTGTTAATCCATGATTTTCCCAGATGAAAGATGATAGAGTAAGTATTCATCATGAAAAAGTGCATTATATTTGCGTCATCTGCTATCATACCCTCGCCCCCTCCTACCCTCTTGAGCAATTAAATTTTTTGCCAATTTATAAACACAGTCATGTAAACAAATTCTGCTATGCATGGCGATATGCGGATAAGATGTGGAAGGTGAGTTAAAAGCAGAAAAAAAAGCAAAATATTGAAACTTGAAGAAACCAATTTAAATAAATGATTAGAATAAATATGGTAAATGTCTTAACTGATACAATTTTTTTTGAAGTTACATAACTAAATTAGGAAGGTACGGAATTTTAAGTATGGAAATTGTGCAATATGTCTACGCAAAAAACTTTCATGACTTCGTAACGGACTGTATCTTAAAAAAATTACATTGTAAAAAAATGTGAAAAAAATAGTGGTAGAAGCCGTGCTGATACTCGTGCAAATTTTATTTATAAGACGCAAAGCAAAAGAAAATTTTTAGAAATTATCAATTTTGATTATTGTGGAATCGATAGTACTCCTCGATTTTAGTCATTTTTTCGAACTGCAGAATGACTTTCTGAACATTGCCATTCCGTCAAAGTAGCTAAGATTCCCATAAAAACTCTTTCACTTGCTGTTTTGGCTGAATGGAAACGTCAACGACAAGTTTTCGTGGAATTTTCCAGAATAAAAATGACATAACAATCAAACTATAAAGTCTGACGCAAGCCATAGGGCTATTTGTACGAAATAGCAACGGATTGTCAGGCAATAGCTTGATTGCGGGTGGATAAAAAAATAATTGGTTTCGCTCTTTTCAAACGCGAAAACTAATCGAAAACAGGGCCATATATGACAGCATAGTTTTTGAGGAAATAGGGACAAATATTGGGAAATTCGGGGAAGAAAAGAAATTTGCAAATTCGGAAAGGAAAACTGACTAGGGATTCAAAGCAGAATTCAATATTTTCAACTTTCCTCCGTCAAAGCATAAAATTAAATTTCTAGAAAGAAAGCTGGCGCAAAATCATATTTTTTAGAAAAAATTTCCATCATCCATGAAAATTCGACGATAATCAATCCACACTATTATGACGTCATCATCAGATACTGTAACATACTGTAGTACTACGGTGATGTAACGGTATTAGAAAAGTCGAGTTATATTTCCAAAAAATAATAATCATGACGAAATCAACAGTGACTGACGTGTTATCGATCTACTCTCATCATAGCATACTGTGGCAGTATACTGTAGTTTTACGGTAGCGGCAATCGACATTAAAATCAATGAATTATCCTATAAAAATATTTTTTGATGGAAATCCACGTCATTTGAGCTATCAATCCGATCTCTCATCATCGGATACTGTAACGGTACTGTAGTGTTACGGTAGTACCGCGGCTTCAAAATAGCCAATCATATCTCCAAAGAATATCTTCTCGATGAAAATCTATAGTATTCAAAATGCCATTAATCTGCCTCTCACCAACGGATACTGTAGCAGTATACTGTAGCCATACGGTAGTACTAGCGACTTCAAAAATATCAAATCATGTTTTCAAAGATTGTTTTTTCAAAGAAAAAGAGTAATCAAGCCGCGATTAATCTGACATTTCATCATCGGATACGGTAGCCGTACTGTACTTAGTACTGTCGTATCACTGTAGCATTTGAACAAAAACATTCAATCACGTTTGAAAAATTTGGGAATATTGAAATAAATAAAAGATGACTTTTCTTGCCTATGAAAACAACGCTGACTTATACTAGCGATCTGTTCATTCATCATCGGATACCGTGATACGACAGTATACTGTAATAAATAGTTTACTGTCGTATTACGATAACTAGCGGCTTTGCAAGTATTAAATTGTTTGGAAAAGGGTTTTTTCGATGAAAAACGATAGTGATTTAATGCATTCAATCTGACCTCTCATCATCGGATACGGTAGCCGTAGTGCTGTCGTATACGGTAGCATTAGCGGCATTAAAGTAGATCACACTAGAGATTAATTCAGGACCATGTATAGGTGACGAAGGTGACGACAACGGCAGCATTCAGACGCTTCCGCGCGCTTCAACTCATAGCGAGTTGCGCGCGTATTAACAGACTGCTCAAAACGAATCAGCTGATCAGCGATGGGCGACAACTCGTCCGAAATCGCAGCTAATCATGTAAATGACCAGTATCAGTGCAACCGCGGCTATGATTTCACTAAGAAATCCCCGGCTCTGGGCTGAGATCAATAGAGAGTAGCGTTTGTGTGTGTGTGTCTGTTGTGTGGTGTGCTAGTGTTGGGGAATTGGGGCGGAGCCGGCTAGGTCCGCCGCTTATGTGGTGTGTGCGGGGGGGGGGGGGCTGGTGGAAGGGGGCGCGCGACCGCGGGGCATAAGCTGAAGGCTCGCGCGGGGAAAAAGTCACCTCGGATAGCCCGATAACAAGGTTTGCATCAACATCGGGCCATTCCGCTTCAGAAGCAACACCCCCTCCCCTCCAACGAGGGGCTGTTTCAATTTCGCGCCAAATCTCGTGAGGCTTGAGCATACCTTGCGCGATTTGGCAATGTTCCAAAAGTTTATAAGCTGTCATAATCGCATTGCGAACATATAAAATCGATTAATAGCAAATATTTGCGAAAATTATGAGCACTACGCTTTGGAGCGCGCATAAACTCCAGGCAAATTGCCAAATCACGTGGCTACCGCAATCGCGCGAAGTATGAACGGGACTGGCTCGAGTGCAGCTATGAAATAGTGCATGTATTCAGCTGCATTCAGCTTGTTTATCCCTAGAGTATTGCAGGCGTAGAAGCTGATAACCATGCAATAAACATAGCATGAAATTTTATTTTGTAATAAAATTTTTGGAAAAAAATGAATTCATCGAGAAAAAAATCAAAATTTGTCATTTTTTGTCTTCATAGCTGTACTATTTTATTATCAATAAACTACTTATCAATGATTATAGAATTATGTTATTTTTCAAGAGACTGTAATATAAATTATATCAAGAATATACGATTTTTGATATATATGATCACTGGATTCAGTTTTGTCAATTATTACTTCACGCATCCAAAAAAAAAACAGAAAGCAAAGAAAAAAGAAGAATGAGCCTTTCTCTACTATACAACACTATAATACCAAGCATTGCGCAAACATGTTCTCATGCCAGATTATGCGTAATTTCTTTTTTTCTGTTATTGCACAAAACTAGTTTCCACCATGATCTTGAACATAATTCTTATACATACATATGAAGACGATAGCTCAAACTCTGCCTACTTTATTTGCACATTTACTTTATTTTTATGAGCAATAAAAATTACTGTACATTATTGTGTAGGAAATCTAGCCTTAGTTCTCGTTCACTTTTATTTTGAAGTTTTTGGCAGAAAAGAAAGAGTGCTCCCCTAGAATAACCAATAAAAAGCTGAATGACTATCGAGACTAGTCTGAATTGCATTTTATTTTACAGATCAAAAATGAATCTAAGGAAGTTCACTCAATACTAGGCTACAAAATATGCTAGTCTCAAGCTGCACTCAATGGATATAAATATGTTTTCAATAGCAGAATGAGTTCTGAAAAAAATTTTTAGAGGAAAAGTAAAGTCTTGGTTTTCTTCTTACTGTTCATAATATGTTATATGTCTTTGATGTATTGCGATTATGGTTGTGAGAATTCAATGAAATTGTTCACAAGGGGGAAGGATTTTTCAAATGAGCATTATGACTGCGCCCTTCAAAAAGAGCAATGCAACTGCAAGCATCAAAAAAATTTCGTAAAAAAAAATCAAGCTCCAACTTCTACAAAATAATTAAATTGAAAATGTAGACAAGTTATATGCGCTATTCTACAAATCTACGATCATTTCAATCATGAAACAATACACCTTACAACTGGATCACTTTCAGACCCCCCTCCACCCCTTCCTCAGCCAAAAATTTGAAGTCATCAGGGTTTTTGGTGACAGTATCGTACCACTTTGACAAAATCTATTATTTTCTCTGGATACTAAATCTTATGAGTCTTTTTCATCAAAAGCTAAATTATTTCGAAGATTATTAGCGATTCGGTAGGAATCTAGCAGTACCCCCCCCCCTCCGCGCTCTCCCGCCCTTAGGGAAATCTTGTTAAAAGCATTTCGTTTCTGTAAATAAGTTTTCCAGGTTCTAAGTTTGATGAGCTAGTTCAAAAACAGGCTTGCTAAGGATATTTGAGTGTTTTTAGGGGAAATCTCAGTTCCATGCAAAACATGAGGTGATGACGCAGATGTGTCCGATACATCTTGACAAACACTTCAATGAGCCAGCCCAACAACATGTCAGCGACAACTCGGAAATAAGAAAAAATTAGTAAAAAATTTTACTTTTTGCAAAATTGTCTGTCAACATGAGTGAAAATCGTGACAAGCAAGTTGTCATCATACTTCTGTTCAATTCTGGTAAAAGACTGACGTCCTCAAGAGACGAAAAATCTCCATTTTTCATTCAAAAACACTTCTTCTAAGAGCAGCACTTTGTTTGTGTCTTGCGAAAAAGATTAATGGCTCTAAGGAAGAGATGCTTGAGCCATAATGTCCCCCCATTCCATTTTTCTTCGGGTAATTGAGTCCGCAAATAGATTTTTTTCTACATTGCTAATGGATCCAAAGCACTTACTCGACAAAGAATGTGCCGTATTCTGGATCGTCGACTTGTTCCCATCCGGGCGGCAAATCCCTCGGGTCATCCCATGTTGTTGTGCCAGAGTTATGACTGCAATTACGTACATAAGTCAGTAATTGCATATAGATTACGAAGGAGATGAGAATTTAGAATTTGGACCACATTCAAAGTTGGAAGAAAGACTTCGAAAAAGAATGGTAAAAAATAAAAGAAAATAGAGTATGTGGTACAAAAATAGTGAAAAAATTGAAAATCAGTAGAAAAATCATTAGCATGCTTCTTCCTATAAAAGGGCCAAAATTATTTGATAGAAGGACCCTAAAATCTAATAATTGACTCCAAATAAGGTATACAGTAAAAAAAAATAGAAGTAGCAAAGAGGCAAAAAGCAGTAGAAAAAATTAAAAAGTACTAAAAAATTAATAACTTGTTTCTCTAGTTTAACAAGGAATTACAATTATTCAATAGCATGGTCCTAAATCTTTTTGTGTGAATAAACCCTAAATAAGGTCCATAGTAATGAACAGAAGAAAATAGCAGAGATAGTAAAAAACTGGTGAAGAAATAAAAAAATTGTAAAAAATTAGTATAATAGTTTGTTTCTGATGCCATATAGCAAGGGACCAAAATTATTCAATACACGACCCCAAACCTTTTTTAGAAAAGACGCTGGAAAACATATGAACTCGCTTTTCTAAATTTAAACAATAATGAAGAGCAGTCACTTGGGTAGGGGGGGGGGGGCAAAAGGCGAAGTAAACAGCATGTATATTCATTTTATATGGCCAAACGCAAAGTTTCACAATTTATTAACTGCTGTTATTACTCCTCCGAATTCCGAATTTTTGTTGTAGTTTTCTTACAGAGACCTCGATCTATCCGCTGATTTGTTCATTCACTGTATTATTTAACTGAAATATGGCTCTAAATCCTTAGGTCTCAAACTACGCTGCCTTAACCTTGCAAAGTTTTGATGGTTTAACTCCCTCGCAAACATTTTCCTTTAAAAACTGGTAGGCTCTAAGCTGATAAAATGTTGTAATTCTAGTTTGTTTAGAATTTTCGCGGAACTCAAAGCCAAAGAAAAACTTCGGTTACTGGTTGGTACGAGTTACTTTGTTCCACCTGCAGTGAAGAGAAAAAAATGTCAGACATGCGCTTACTAGTTCTGAGAGAAGTAGCAAAGATTTGAAGGATGAGGATGGAGTAAAAAAATTTTCAACGCGGCTAGCTTCTCAAACGATCAAACAATCATAGTACTACTTTAGGTATTGAGTTCAAATAACCCTTGCATCAAAACTCAGAATTTTGCTTTGAGTGTTCATAAAGGTTTCATTTACCATTTACTCAGAAATGATCTGATTTTGTACAGATCATGTCAGTAATTTTTCGAGACATTTAGAAAATCAGATAGTAAAGCCATTTGTACTATTTCAGAGATACTCGATCGGCAGTCAATTTGTTTTAGTTATGAACGGGAACCATAAAACTAAAAAAATTCCTAGAAATTCCGCTGCAAATTTGATGAATGTTTTCTCAACACATTTTGACTGGATTGCTCAAAAAAATTCTGCACATATGAGATATTGCATACATATACCATACCTATATACCAGTGGCGTACCGAGGGGGGGGGGGGCGCGCCCCCTCCCCCGAGAATGGGTCGCGAAATTTATGAAAGTTACTTATAAGGGTTATAAAAATGTGCAAATGACTTGTTTACACCTGTAAATAATCAAAATATTTTTAAACATTTTTAAAAATTCAAATTAGCCTTGTAAAAAAAATCTTTTCGCGCTTAGGGGTTGGGGACCCGCAAAAATTTTGAGAAGCACCCCTATAATTTTTCCAGAGTGCATGGCTAAGCCACGCACCTTCATTTGAAAAAATTTTTCGTCGCCCTCCCCCCCCCCCCCCGAGCGGAAATCCCGGGTACGCCACTGCTATATATGTGTACCATACCTTGTCGTTCTATTTCTCTGCTAAGTCATATTTCCACCTGACGCGATTTTCAATGTCAAATGTCGAAAAGGTTTTTTCCCACATTTTCTAGAACATACTGTAAAATAAGCCAGCAGATGAGTTTCGAAAAACTGGGACGACATTTTTTAAAGATGATTAACCTGCCAAAATTGCCAGTCAAAAAAGATTATGAGTTTCTTTACGAGCCACCATTACAACTCTAGAAACTTCTAAGCATCAACCGCCATAATGATGTAGGGGCAGAAGGACCTTTCCCATCAGCTGTTCTTTGGCTCCAAAGCTCGAAATTGATGAGAAAATTATTAAGGTAGGGAGGTATAAAGCTAGCTAGCTTCCATGCAGCAATTATTATACTTATTCAATTCAAATTAAGCTCTTCATTACTCTTACTGTAAAATAACGATGGGAACTTTCAAGAAAAGTTTGGGAAAACCGAAATTTGCAACAAAAAAACTTAAGTTGGAAGTATCAGCTGAAATTAGTTGTGAACGGTGATTCGAAAATAAAAAATCAAAATTCTAATTCTCATGCAAAAGCTCCTCCAAATACAGTGATACTCTTTCCGATCAAAATAATTCTATGTATAATACTATCTAAACAGCCCTTTAAAAATACTAAAAAGTTAAATTTTGCAAAAAGAATGTTTGGAATGCCAATAACAAAGTTTCCAAATTAGAAAAAGTTTTGAAGTTAGCTAGTCATTATGGTCCTGATAGGTTGCAAGTTCCTACCGTAATCCTACAGTAATGAAGAACATATTAGCATTCTGTCACATAGAGGCTACAAGCCAGAACTCTGATTTAAAAGGTTATCCTAGTGAAAAAAAAATCAAAGGTCTTTACATTTTTAGATTCTGTCTAACAAGCAGCCGCCAAGCAGAAAATAAAAATAGTTCTTTTTGATGAAAGGATGAAAATTTTTTCAATGAAATTTTGACTTATTCAACACATTACTGCTCATAAAAGCAAAATCACTATTGTCCTTGTCCGTGGTTGATTTACCACTAAGTGGCAATAAAATTTCCACAACTAACAATAAGAGTACAACTGAACTCACTCAATAAAGTACTTGTCGCCGTTCTCAGCGTAGCCGATTTCCCAATTTGGTGGCAATGGTCCTTTGTTAGCGCTGCTTACCATTGCTGTTCCCTCATAACACTCTTCAGGTCGTGGTGTTCCGTAGAGATGTCCTGAAAATGGGAGGAAATAAGGACAGCAAGCTTTATTGGTGCAAAAAATAAGGTTCGAAATTTTAGTGGTGCAAAATGCCCATATACAAGGTGTCCGGACAATGCTGGGTACTTGGACTTTTTAAGTGAATAGTGATTAGGAAGCTTAACTAAGGCTTTGCCCAAACGGCAGCTCATCTGCTTCGCTCGAAGCCAAGAAATTCATTATAACAGTCTCGCCCATTGCCGTACTCACTGGCTTGCTCGGATATAGGATACGGTACTGGGCGGGACTTTCAAGTGGAGTTTCCCGGTCACGAATGAATCGAATAAGCTGGTGCTTGAACCATGGCTTTGTTTAAGTCCTCGCAATCAGTTCACACATAAGAAGCCCAGATATCAAGATTCAACTGGGCAATGCTTTCAGATATTGGCAAGCAACAGAATATGCGTAGAAGGAAAGAAATGAAGGTGCAAAAGTGTACCGATAAAATGGCTAACCATTGCCCAAAAGGCACTTCATAAGGTTCAGTCGCAGCCGGGAAATTATTCATCTCTAAACTCTCGCCCAGTACCGTATTGATTGGCCTGCTAAGATAAAGAGTAGGTGCTGGGCGAGATTTGAAGTTGAATTTCTCGGCCATAAATGGCTCAAATGATCTAAGCCTTGGAACATAGCCTTGCTAAAGCCTCCCAAATAGTTTCCACAAAGGAAACCCAGGTATCGAAATTTCAGGACATTGCCTTCTTCGTGGCAAAAATAGGATACAATAAATGGGAGGAATTGAAGGTGCAAAAGTGCCGCTTTACTACCAGATCACAAAGTAAAGCAGACAAGACGCAAAATCATAGAAAGGAATATTCCAGCTGCACGATACGATCTGAGAGCCGCTCATAGTACAAATGCATTGTAACACGCTCAACATAGCGACAATCGCGCCGAGCTTTAAATGTCCCGTCGGCCATCGGCATTAATACCATGATATTATTGACGACGACCATTGAATCATACACACACAGACGCAAAGTTCGCGTTTTTGCAAAAACACATTGAATGCCATGTTTTTTGTTGTGCAAAAGAACATAAGAAGATTAGTAACATAGGCAGGGTGACTGCCATATGTAAGTGGAATGTGGTGCCTGGAAAGATTATAAATGGGAAAACTTTTTGATTTGAAGGTTTACCAAATGTTAGAGAGAATCAAGGAAACTTGTCAGAGCACCCACTATGAAGTGTGAAGCATAGCTTCTTCATAAAAATAAATTCTAACATACTGGCCTAGTCTTTTAGAATCCTAAGATTCCATGAACAACATAAATGAGAATTAAGGCACCTAAAGTACAAAGTACTAGGAAATTCTTTCCTTAGAATTATTTTGATACAGTATTTGTAAGCCAAATTCAGGAAATAGAAGGAATTCTCACTTCCGATCTGCCAGTTAATGTTCAGTAAATTTTGATGATAACTTATAACAGAACAGTTGAGATCTTTTCTGCGCTACAGATTTTTTTGAACCCTCGTTAATCTGCACAATGGTTTTCCTTGCTCCTTGCTCTAGTAATATTATAACATATTAATCTTAAAAAATTTTCAAAAAATCAATATTTATAAGCTCAATGGCCAACAGTTTCGTTACAAAAGAATATTTTACCGTTAAAATGATTTTGACTGCTTTGATGACTCAAAATTTTGAAAGATATGTATTTGGGAAACTTTACAGCCCAGAAAATATAGTACTCAGGACTCGCCCAAGAGTTTCAAACTTGGTCAAGATTATATTATAGATTTGCAGGTTAGAGCTGTTTTTCGAGTTTTGCTAAAGATTTTCAGGTTTATAAGCGACGAATACTTCTTCCATGAAAATGCGTAGTAAATCAAAGATTTATCAAAACTTTGTAGGATAATTTTCATTATTCATGACAGAGTTACAAAAACAAACAAAAAACTTAAATCGAATAAAGAAAATGCCAGTATCCACACTTTAGGCTATGAAATAAATAGATTGTCTAACAAGCTTAAAGCTTTTATACAAAATAGAGTAATGAAAATATGGAAAACGAAAAACGGGTAGTTCTCCGCTGAGAAAGGTCCATGTTATTTGACAAACACTGCAATAAGTTTTCTACAAAAAATGTGGGATCAAAATGGAACGATAAAAGAAAGCAAGTTAAAAGCTTATTATGAAAACGGATCGGTAAAATTCACGTTTATCAAAGCAAAAATTCAATCCCTCTATCTTCTGAAAAGCTAGTAGCTTTAGTTTATCCAGTTTCGATAAACTAAAGCAGCGTCTATTCAACAGCGAAAGGTATTGTGAGCTACTCTACCGCCTATCCCGCAACACTGCAAAATGTTTGCAAAGTTTCGAAGTAAACGCTTATTTGACTACAGTATCTAACAAAGTCAAGATTTACTCAAAAGTTCAAAAAACCACAGCATAAGGACAGTGAGATGTCCACAAACATCGTCATAAGACGATGGCGAAGGAAAGTGAATCACATATAAAACAAACATATTCGCAGCTAGGAATTATCACTTGTTCAAATAGAAAAGTTTAGGAAGAGAGAAAAGGCATGGCATTGAGATTGGACTCAAAAAGGAAAAGGCCAAAATTTGAAGGAGTAGAGGATGTGAATCAAAAGGGAAATTATTAAAAAGGAATATGTCGGTTGTCGCATAGTAGGAGACAAGTTTTCTAAAGGATTTACTCAATTTTACTGTACTTTGCTGTAAGTTGTTAGATTTCGACTATTTTAACAACATTCTAAATTTCTTAAATCTATTTCAAAATTTATATGAGGGACTCATGGACTCTCTTTCCTTACTGAGGAGTCCGGGGAGATGAGGTCCACTCTGTCTAAGGGAGAGGACGAAAAGGAGTGTTCAAAACTTTTCTCTCTCTTATTTACTGCTTACATTTTGTTCCACTAAGAAAATTTCAAGCATACGCTGGTGAAACAACTTGTTTTCAGTAGCTACATAGTTGTAAAACACATGTTCTACGAACGATAGTATTTCTGTGGATTTCTACGCGATAACTTGCTCCCAATATTATTACGCATTGATAGCACATACTAGCCAGAAGTAGTCAAGAGCATCCTTAGAATTCGGATTCATAAAAATCCACGAGCAGCATCTTGTCGAAGCCAAAGACTCATACGATTTGATAGGCTTAGGAGCTGTTTAATTACTCGAATCCAGGCTTCCTACTTTGTCATTATCATTTTTGAAATAAATCAGATGTAGATCATACCTCAATCTGACACAAGTCAAGAAAAATAATGTGTAAAATCAAGCAACTTTTCTTACTTATAAACTCGAAGCAAAAATCTGCAGCCGTGAGAAGGGGATATGTATTATTGAGAAATTCACTGCAAAATATCAGATGATTGGAAGGCCTTTCATTTGATTGAAGAAGCTCAGGAAAATCCTGCAGTTTTTTTCGTGAAATAATCCAGTTTTTTTGGTCTTTGATAAAGTTAATCGAGCTTTCAATAAAAAAGGAAACTGCAAAGATCTAGGCAGCATTGGCAGTCTTAGCGATATTCCTAAGAATCGTGGAAAATAACTAAGATTTTCACTGAATGGTCCGCCCTCGGTACAAGGCCATCAAGATTTTCACAATATTTGAACACAAATTTCAAAATAGATAATCGTTCAAATCAAAAAGAAAGTTGATGAATCTTAAACCCCTCAACACCTACCGAAATTTTCGCTTTATTCTCTCTCCTCCCCCCCCCCCTTCCCCCACTCTTGTACGGTTCACTACTAATCAAAGATGTAAGAGCGAGGCGACATCAGACAAAGTTTCCAAGAAATTCGTCCTCAAAGAATTTGCCGCCAAAATAAACGATGAAAAGGAGAAGCACCGTTTCTGACAAAGTCAAATGAACAAAGAAATTCTTGTGAGATTCTATTCACAACACCAAGAAACAAATCAATCGCAGCCATAGAAGGCAATTCAGAACATTATCGGCGAGCAGAATCGCAGCCGACGACTGTCGAGATAGGAATCATCTCCGGTCAGCACGCATTTGTCGACAATCAAACATTCTGCTGAGAATAAGGACTGCAGAAGAAGAGATCTGATTCGAGAGCTGATGGCGAAAAAAAGCAGCAAAGCCGGAATATCCTAGTACTTGACGGTCGGACTCTTCCCAAGATGATTTGCCAGTCAAAATCTCGAAAGAGAGATTTCTAGATATCTAGATGGAGAAGAGGTTTGAAGTTTAGCAGTAGAATATACTGAAAAAAGCAAAAATTCCACTGAGAATATGAAATCGGTTGGGCGAGTGAATGGACATAACGGTGGCAAGAGGGGAGGGGATTAGGAAGACAAAGATCTAAAAAATTGGTAAGGTGGCAAAGAATGCCGGCATTGAAATTGTTCATAGGCAAGAAGCAACAAATTCTGGCCGACTGCCAACTGCTCAGTGAGCTGTGAAGACACTAGTCGATTTTACAATATGTAGTTTTTTTTTGTGAAGACATCTGCCATGAAAATACATTTAGAAATTTGACTCCACCGAATCTATATTGTTCTCAGCAAAAATATCGGCTTTACATAACAAAAAACTTGTCTTTCACCGTCTTGTGACTCTTGAAAGTAAAAAAAGGAGTGGGAAGTTTCTCCATGAAGAAAATTCCAGTCAAACTTATTGTTTTTCTAGCCAAAAATATCCCCTTAGGGAGGCAACGCAGCAGCAGAAAGAATTTTTTTCACATGAGAGCTAAAAGCCTGCGCCTCAGAACTGAACATTCGCAATTGAAATTAGTTAGACTGCTACCTGTCATTGAAAAAAAAATTTACTGAAAAAATTCGATTATACAAGCTATACTATTCTCTAGTAAAAGAAAAAGGGATTTTAGTGACGCGACGGAAAAACACGTCATTTAACGTCGCATCGCTGCAACATTTTCAGAGCAGTATAGTCTCCACAAGAAGGAATGGTTGTGTCAAAATCAAAAAAAATTTTTTCGCCAAAAAATTATCCACTCCGAAGGGGGCAAATAATCCGCG